AACCCGTCTAAAGAGCCGTTGTTTCATAGTTCCACGATCTATGTAACATTTAATGTTAGCAGACGCTTTATAGTCGAAACTTCGAATCCGTTCCAGAAAGCGATATAACCACGACTTATTTAAGCTTATAGAGGTTCTCCGAAATAGAAAACGTGTTTTTGTTACTGCACGCACTGAAATACAAAATAGCCGAAGTTGTAAAATGTTTTATGTAAACAACAACCAGTAGTACAATTACTTTGATTAAAGTCTTGTTGCTATGCAAAAAAGGCGCTCAATCGCAATAAAGTTTCGCCAAACGAGGCATACCGTGGAGGCTGCACTGCGACTGCGCCCTTATACGCACAATGGGTGCTATTATTAGATGACGATATTCAAGGCTGCCTGCCTCCGGGAATGTCTTCGTTTCGGATGTTTCAAGAGGCATCTTCTAGGAATCACGTCTGACCGAGAGTGCTATGCACATTTTTTACGTGTCGTATGTTCGTGTACAATCAATTCGAAAAGTGAAGTCGGCTAAACTAGCTTGCTTATCGAAAATAACGAGGGTATTTGTTGAGCGCCTTGCGCTGAGCGCAAGTAAAAAGTTAGCAAATAGGAATATCTATTTTTTAATTTTAATTTCAACTGGCAATCTACTATAATTATAATATAAACTAGTAGTGTAGTTACTCCCCACACGGGACCTATTATTGTATGCCGAAAGTTAAATTCTTATAGATAATAGTCATGTCAGATTACTGTGACTTATGTATCGTTTTAATTCATGTTTTTAAATTATATAAATACAGCGCAATATATCAAAAGATTTTTCCGAAGTTTGAAGTTTGAAGTCAATTTCTACTAATAATGCGATTTTATATCTAATAAAAGCTTACGAGCACATTGAAAAATAATTCACCTTGTCATGAAATTCCCGGTCTCAAATTCCTTTGTATACCAGACTTCATTGAAAAAGAACACTAATTTAAAATTAATGTTTCTCGTCGTTGATCTGCCAACTTCTCGTCCTTTTTTAATTTGATGTCATTGAGGTTTGAATTTGATGATGATGATGATGATGATGTCATTGTTGAATAAACCTTTGTCTACTAAATACACATTCTTTTAAAATCTATAATAAGGTGAATAACATTTGTGAACACAATAATAGGGTACAATGCACAATTGACGTTTAAACAGTAGTATACATAGTAAAATATTTCGCCTTTCGAGACAGGTCCTAGATGAGTTTTAAACAATTATGGGAAATTCAAATGTTCAGATTTGAGGAGCAAATGTAGTCTTATGTGGTTGGTTTGAAATTAGCTCTTTTATTCATTCACTTTTATTGCTGGCTATACAACTTGTCCAGAAGGTTGAATACAACTTGATACTGGGTACGTTCGTTATTATCGACCTCTCAGGCCAAGTTAGCACTTAGGTGGAAAGATGTGGGTAACTACTTAAGCAAATTGTAATTAATTAATTACTGATAAGTTAAATGTTTCCAGAAGAGGTTAATTTATTTAAGCAATTTTTTCGTTTATTGCGGATAAGGAACTTCATTAACTTAAATGAGTTCAATAAATTATAAAATATAGAAAAAGTCGCATATGCATTTCGCTGAGAGTGCTGGTCATGTGGTTTATCCAACTGAGATGTCCCCCAACTGTTGTACTCTCTGAAATAATATGGCAGGTTTTCTGACCTTTAAAACTTCGATATTTAAACCCAAAATGTTACCAAGCGTCAAGTAGAATAATTCGTAGTACAAATTCCATGGCCCTTCTTAGCGCCAGCCTACCTGTGGACTAAAAAAACCGTCCTGACTACAGGGCCGTGTCGGCGCTTTTGATAATTTATAAGACTCGCCTTTCTTGGAATTTCGAAATCTCGACGTTTCGTGCTCTGCTCGCGGCCCACGGAATGGAATGTAACGGATTTGCTACGATAAAAAGGTGCATTGTACCATTGCCTATTGTGACAAGCGAGAAAGCGACGGTTTTTTAGTTTTCTAATTTAAAAATTTAATAGAGCAATGTGACACGCGCAGCGTGCCAATCCGATTCTAATTACGTCTGCAGCAATCCAGCTATACAATGGAAACTAGTTGACAGAATGTACCCGGAAGTAGTTAGTTAAAAACATTCACCAGATTAGATACAACCAATGTTGTAACGAAACAAAACCCAAAAATTAAACAGGATCGTGAAGAGGCTTTCTACATCCTCGGGTATATACTTACTGACATAAGTTAGTAAATACCTGCATACAAACTGAACCGGCGTCCCGAACGCGGAGAGTTCTGGGAAAAGCAGGCCGCATTCCTCGGCAAGCGCTGCCATTGGCCGCTCGGTGTTCGCTTGCAGCCCTGCAATCAAAGACAACTGCTTTAACAGACGCGCCTCAAATTAAATTACAATTTCTGAATGACTGAATTAAGACAACCCAGATTGTCTTAGTTCCGACATGCTACACGATAATGGCGCTATGTACTCTTATACATTCTAATTCCCGGGTGACACTTATAAAGCTAGTTTTTTAATTCATTATAGCACAATTTGAGTCGACGCATGCGAGCATTGTCTAACTTCGTGTAGTCAGCTCCAGCTAATGGTAAGCAAGTTAGTAAGCAAGCGTGTCTAGTCAGGATGGATTTTATACAATGAGACTACAAATACATGTTTTAAATTTACTAATGCCCTCTACACCTAAGTAATTATTATTGACTAGGTTTCTATGTAAGTACTTACAGTCAAGAGCCCATCAAATTTGACACTTTAAGACTTTGGACCTTCTTGTCGCAAGCCGCATTAAATCGACAAGCTTGACGTGCTCTTGATCCTAGTCTGGCTAGATAACGAATGAATTATTACTAATTGTTGTAATTGCTGGACAAGTATACCTACAGTAACAAACTGGGGTCTTCCCGATAAATAATGTCGTCTCGCTCACACCATTTTGTACTCATTTTGTACCAGAAATGTACAAGCGAAGTATAAATTAAACTTTTCCCATTTCTTTTCTACGATTTGCAAGACAAGAACAAGGTAGATTCACTACGCGCGCAACTGCATTTAATCTTTGACTCGGCTAAGTCACGAAGTGAACGCTCAGGCTTCGGCCGAGCCGTGGCGGGTTCATTCATTAAAATATTCATTTATTACAGTGTCTACCGCATCTCACCGCGACGGCTTATCATATTACAGACCTGGAATTCATTAATGACAATGTTAGCTGCGAAGAATATTGTACACTTACACTTGCTAATAAATTGCGAAGGTGGTTTCTGTCAATACGTACTTACCTGTCTTTTAATTTTAACTTGAAAAGAAAATTGCTATGTATTGCCTTCAGGACGTTATTTTTTGTGTTGTGCATGTTACATCGTCAACCTCATCATCACTTTTCATCAGGTGAGATGGAGGTCAAATGCGCACTTACTTTATATATATTTTAAAAAAACTAGATACAATGACATAAGCAATTAGATACAAACTAGACTAACCATACACAAGTATTTTAAATTGCCTACGATTTTTTTAGAAGCAGATTATATCAGTGGAGAAAACTCTTTGTACCTTAATAATTCCCATCGGCTCACCTTACTAAATTGGATAATCGTGGTTTGTATTATTTTATATTTTAACAATATTTTTACATAATTTTTAACAAATCAAACGACTGACAATTTTATCCGACGATACTAAAGCCGCGTGACTAAAATCTTTATAGAAACACTACCTAGAGTGCTTCCTCAACTACTGTCGCTTTCACTCCCACAAAAAAACGAGTTTGTGCATTTGTATGTCATTTTAAATACGCGAATTTATATGGCAACACAACACTATCGGCTGGATTGAGCGATGATGCGCGACGCGATGCAAGCGTGAAAGGTAGATTGTTTCGTACCGGCAGTAGGGTAGGGTTTCGTTGGGTAGAGTGTAAAGTGCAATAATGCATCATCATGAGGTATTACAGATTATGATGAGGAATTAATACAGAAGTATGTCTTTTCATAATCTGTGGTATTTATTTTTTACAGTGGTACATTACATAATAGACTTCCCCGGATTAAATATGGAAAGAAAGTGAACTTCAAAATTTTATCGTACAATTTATTCGTGTAAAAACTTTAATAAAATAACAAAGAGACGGTCTTGGGTTGTGTTACAGCATTAAATTCGTAGACCCCTGAAGGGGTGTGTGCAGGGTGCAGGGTGGGGAATGTGACAGCTGCGGCGCACGTGGTTTGGCAGATGACGCCCGCGCACGAGCAAGCTGCGCTCGCACACCTGCCCCGTGCCAAACTTTACCTTCATTTTTTATGCTTTTATCGTCTTCTAAGTAGCATCTGCTCAAAATAAAACTCATTCTATAATAATATTCCAATTCAGCATGTTTCTTTGTTTATGACCTCTGTGTCGTGAAAACCGGCCAAAGGGATAAGTTATTTGTTTTATAGAGAAAAACATACATCCCAAATAGTCTCATTTCCATACATTGGAAAAATCGGCTTTATGTATTTAATGAGAGAAGTAATACAGATATGACATCTTGTAAATAACAAGGTATTTCCCACCTACTAATTAATTAACACCGCATGACGTCGATGTATTCAAACCACAGTGACTTAGCTTAGAGGATGGAAATGATTTAGTGACGTGAGAAGTATGTACATACCTTTATTGTCCTGAGACGCCGTGGAAACAGTATTACGTAACCGTTCCTTACAAATTTCCATAGATCTGTCAATAATATTGATGTTAAAAAAAATAGTGCAGTCGATTTATGATGACATTACCTGTATATGAGCAACTACACTAGGACACGTAACCTACGGTTACGTAGTCGCTACGTATATCCATTGCAATCTGTTAGTATCTACCTCTGTACGTCGCACTCTAGCGACAAAAGCAGACGCGTTTTATGACTAACAAGAAAATGTCCAAACTTCATCGTTTTCCGTTTACCAATCTCTTTCCTTTAATACTTATTTAGTGTTGCTGTATTTCTCGGAACGTCAAGTGTCTGCCGCGTCTTTACTTTAGTCTTTGGTGTCAATCAAAGTGCGAGTGACGCCGTAATGATAAGCAAATTTTAACAAACAGCATTAGTGATTGCAAAATTAGAGGCAAATCAAGGAAAATAATACCTAGTATGTGTCTTCGAATAACTATTTCTTTTAAATTAGTATTCCCATGTGAAATGTATATGTTTCCGGTATATGTATCAACTTGTGTTATAGGTAACCAAATGTACCATTGACAATTGGTAGCCAAGGATTTCGGATATGGGAGAAAGAGAAGCTGTTAGCTCCTCTGACGATGGCTTACATGATAATTTAGAAACATCCAGCGTACCGGGCACAAGTGGAACGTCAGGTAATACCGTAGTATTAAATAAATGTAGCGTAGATAGTTGTTTTCAATAAGAATTAAAGTAGTTTTTAAATTTTCACACATATTGCATAACAATTGAGTAACAACTTTGCATTATGTATATAATATAGTTTATGCATGTTTTTTAAGACATAAAATTATGAGTAACAATCACCATGACTTGTACAGGTTTAAGGTTGAGCTTGAGAATTAAGATTTAAATTCAACTCTATACCGCTTGCGATAAGAACGGTCCAAAGTATCAAGCTTGACGCGCTCTTGACTATGATGAATGTACGACCATTCCCAAGTGAAGCCACATTCCCAGTACGAATATTTTGTTTAGAATGGGCTGTTAAAAAGTTGTGCGAAGTTTCCTTCCTTACCCCACTTATTCCATACGATACCTTGAAATTATTACTAATTTTTTTTTTTTTTTAATTTATTAAGGCTTTGGCAAAACCATCAGCCTAAACATGAAGTTTAATTATGTTTCTGTAAATATGGCCGCCACAAAGAGGATAGGCAATTTGAGGCGTCGTGTTTGGATTGACTCGGGATTCCTTAAAACAGGCCGATACGGGTTTTCTAGTTCGAGATTCGTATAATTTCGCGTTTTAATCTTCGATTAAGGCACAATAGCACTATCCTATTCCACTTTAAACTAGATTTCACAAAATAATTGAAAGTCAAAATAAAAACGACACTTTTCCCTGCAAAAGGTCCAGAGCGAATCAATTATTACTAATCGTATACATACAAAAGCGCATTTATTCATAGCGCGTTCTGACCTAAAACAAACTGAAATAACATGAAGTACTATTCTTAATTTATTTGTTTTGTTGTAGTTTTAAGCTGATGGCCTCGTAGCCAATGCTCAATAAATTTAAAAAAAGTACTATAGAGTAAACGGAGATAAAACAAAACTCAGAAAACATCTCAATCAAAGTCCGATTGATATTTCATTCGTTCATTATTATTGTCTACCCTCAAACTTAAAAATATGGCCCACAATGTGGCTTTTTTTGTAATGAAATGAAGTATTTTAATTTTTTTTGTCAGTTGTTTTTATTTATTGATTTAGACAACAAGGCTATAAATATAAACCTCAACTAGTTCAACAAAGTCATAATAGACTTTAGCTACGTTACTACTAATGAAAAAAAATAATTACAAAATTAAATGGTATTAAGTTTTTCAGGAATCACGAGTAAATAAATGTTTAAACTAGTTAGTTATTTTTCATTACTAATTAAGAATTTATCGGGTTCTTAAGTTTTCGCGATTGTTACACATAGGAAATGAAGCTATTTTTCCGGATTTAAATCGCGTATATTTGTTTTTCAAACATATTAAACAAACAAATTACGAATTTCTTTAAATTAACGCGTGTATTCAAAACTGGCCGGTTACAGACCGGATCTTGAAAAACAGCTGTCTCGGTGTAGTAGGAATGAAAAGAATAATTCCCAACTGCGTGAGCTAGAAAGAGACAAATTTCCAAATTTGCCGCCATCATTACAACGACACTAACCGACAACGGCCCGCCGCCACCGCACTACTTGTCCCTCCCATACGCGTACAGTATCGACTATATCCATGTTGCCACAAAGTTATACTTTTAAATACCCGAAATATCATAATAACTCAAAAATTTATTTAAAAAAACAAAATACATGCCATTTTAGATCCGAAATAAATAGTGTCATTTCAAATATGTACCTACTGTTGAGTAATTTTGGAAGAATATAATTTAGAAGGTTCAAATATATTCTAAATAAATATCTTTTGAAGTTTATTTAGCGTGAGAGTGAATTATAAAATAAACTTCAAAATTAGAGATGGAACGAATAGTGATTTGGCCGGATACCGAATATCCGGCAGATATCTGAATATCCGGCGAGGACTTAGGCCGGATAGCCGGATATCTGACCCACTGCCGTAAACATGTTGTGACCGATTTACAGTGCGCATCGCCGTGATTGATTGATTAGTGAATGACTGCACTTTCACATTGACGATTTGATTTGTTGTGGTCGCTTGGTTTTTATAAAAACGATTAATTTATTCGATAATAAAAACAAATACGTAACAGAAAAATGTTAACAGTGAAAAAAATCCAAATTTGGCAATATTTTAATGTCAGTGCTGTGTGTTTGTTGTGCCGAATGCAGCTTTTTCGCGGTGGAGAGGAAAAAAGCAAATACATCATTGTTTGGCTATATTACAGTTTCTAGTTGTTATACCCTTATATCCTAGACTTGATGGGTGAATTTCACTTTCCGAAATTCAATGGCACTTTTTGAGTGATTTTTGTAAAACCCTTTTTTCTTTTGGTTTTAAGGTCTTAAACATACAAATAAATTCAAGCAATGTCAATAATTATAAAATCACTGAAATATTTAAGTTAAATACAACAAAAAACTATTTTTAGGTCACAGGAATGAGATTGCAGTAACACGAATGATTTTCTCCTAAACATAAATGAGAAAGACGGCACAGTAATGAGAAATTATTATTACAATACACATTTTGTCGTTCACAAAAGAACATTTAAGAACATTTAACATGTAACAATTATTTTAATATAACTTCTTGATCGAAATCCTTCTCAATCGTGTAAGACGGTGTATCTATATGTAATTAATAAATAAATCTAAATAAGTATTTTGTTAATGTCGTATAAACTTTGTTGTACATCAATATATCATTATCACCACCATCAACATCATCATCATGATCACCATTATCATCAACATCATTACTATTCACATCATCATCACAATCATCGTCATCATCACTACAATCATCATCGTCATCACCACCACTACCACCATCTAATTGTTATATTTCAAGTGAATGTTTGGCTTAAAGTAACTATTTGACTTAAAAGTAGACAAGAATGAGAGCGACAATAATGATATTTGAATACATTTTTAATTGTCGAGTGTGTAAAATAAGCTAGACCGTTATAAAAGTGCATGGATTTTAAAGTTTCCTTTATCTAATTGATGTACAATAAAGTTTATAAAACTATTACTTAATACTTATTTACATAGATTGCTTTACATTAATGAGAACGATTTAGTCACTAGCGCTGAAATTGGTATTTAAGTCGGTTTTTTGCTAAAACGGAGATGCACAGGTTACTTCACTGTGTACACTTCAATACGACAGGAGCCTCTTCTCACGTGTGCGAAGGGTGAAGGTGATGCGGTATGAACTTTTGTTATTAGGAGACTTTTATTGACACTAATTTAGGTTTGAATTGACAATAATGATAAGAAAAATTGAAACACATTTTGTATTCCCAAGAATACATGTTTGTTTATAATACATTGGAAAGTTACGGTATGTATCCGACGTGTAAGTTATTAGAGTCTATCTTCGATGGGAAATATTGCGATTTACACGAGTGTTTAATTTTATTTCTTTTCTTAAAATTAGGGCGACGTGGAACCGGCTTCCATGAATGAGAAATTGCCCACTTTTTAATTTTTATTTATTACTGTGACGTAGTAAAGTCTTCTTTTTATGTGTAGCACAGACTAAGTAAGCGAGCAATCATATTAAATAAATAATGCTTAGCATTCATGTAATATCATAAAAATTATTGAAAGGGACACATTTTTGGAGGTTACCTGAAAACGACCTGATACGCCCATGATTATTTTGTTTTAATTTAATTTCATTAATTTGTTTGTGATCTAACAATTCCAAGCCTTGATACCAGAATTGCCAAAAAAAAATTTTTTTTAATTTTTTTTATCTACTTACACGTTTCATTATTGTAGGTACACATTGTATTTGAAAACAGTTCAAATCGATCGTGATCGCGATCATTGCATTTGATCGTCTAGCAATAACAAGTAGTTTATAGTGAAAAACTGTCCTCAGAGGCTGATCTCGTTTATGAAAATAAATAGAACCAAGTTTTACTACTTAATGCAGAAAATCTGATCCACTATAATTTGCCTTAATGAAATTTGAATACTAAATTTACAGATAACGTTATCTAACTTCATAGTTCTTTCAGTTACAAGTAATAAACAGATTGTCAACGATCCTGTAGTTGCTGTTGATTCTAGTAATATCATCTTTAATCAAGAAATCAATTTATTTGGCGTACTGATTATAAATTTTGATCAGTTTTAAGCGTCCACTATCTGAACGGATATTGTTCCACTATCCGGTATCCGGCCGGATAGGACGTCCGTTTTATTTCTATTTAAAATTATTTCACAACAGCGAAAAAACTTTTTTAATGACTCCATCGTTTTCGTTCAGTAACTTCAACTTTTGACAGATGTCAAATGTGGAAAATGAAAGGAAAAATATTGGGAAATTATCCGGTAAATATTTATTTTTCTGAAAAATATGGTTTTTTCGAAATGGAAATTTTTCCATGACCCAACACTTCCAATGTGTAACAACTGCGAAAACTTAAGAACAAAATTCCTAAAAATAATTTCTTATAATATAATAGGTAAAACAACTCCCACAAAACAACCCAAGTATATTGGTAACTAATAAAAATAAATAAAATTTTAACCGACTTCAAAAAAGGGGGAGGTTCTCTATTCGACTGTATTTTTTTGTATGTATGTTACGCATTTGTGAACCGATTTGGATGATTCTTTTTTGTCGGAAAAAGGGTACCTCAATATAGCTCCCATTTAAATTTGAAGGAATTATCCCACCTCTAATTGTAAACTAGGGGATGAATAACCGGTAACCGATTTCAATAAAACTTCAAATATAATTATGTAATTCCACGAACTTTTGAGGTCGGTTTTGTTTATATTTAAAAAACTGCATAAATAATTATTTCTCCTTATTTTGTGGTAAACCCGCTAAGTTGACAACCCCAGCATGGATCGCGCTGTATTGTTAAGCGTACAAGGCCTCTGAGGCCGCGCCTGGGCGTCCGATTTATAGAAATACCGTGTTGCGAGTGAGACGTGTGTTGTGGCGCTTCGCTTTATTGAACGAACGAACGAAACATTTTCCTTGACTTCAGTCGCAGAGGGTCTGCCCCAGACTCAGTTTGTTTGTTTTGTTCTGATGTGGATTTGAAGTGATACTAAACTGTACTCAGTTTAAGTGCTCAAATCAGTGCTTGTCAAACTCATTATTTGGATCACAAATGGAAGGATTAACAGGTAAATATTTAGGTTTAGAAATGACACGATTTATCGAACATATGTTTTAATTTGACACCAACACGACGTCACTTATTTTTACTGTATGCGGGTTAACAAAACAATTTACTGACTTTTTGGAAATAAATTAAAGGCGATTAGTGAAAGTGCAGTATATTTAATTATACCAATGAAATATATTCCGGTATATTTAACCCGAAAAGTGGCATTGAATCTGAATTAGTAAAAACTCTTTTTTAAACGGCGGCGTTATGCATCATGAACAAGAAATTTAATTAACGGACCTTATATGTAGCTCATTATGAATACATCTGTTTATATTCCATTAAACTGCCACCAAATGACGACCTTAGCGCAAAAAATCTCGTGGACTTTTATTAAGGCGAATAATTAATTGTATTATGTTTTATTATTATGTAATTTAGACCTTATGGAATGTAAGTGCTATAATATGACATCACTTAATTATTATTTATGACTTAGAAATTTTAGGACCCAAGAACAAACGAATGTAAATAAAAACCTAGTGGTTGATAGTATTGTTACATAGTCATTATTTATTAATTTTTGTCTTAAATTATTCTCCGTCCCTATTTGTGCATAATATAGTGTTTTAAGAAATTAATTTGTATTTTTAAGATAATTTTAACAAGTTTAGAAACATTTAATGAAAATTATTTAAACGTTATTATAATTCATTAATATGATAAAGGCTAAATAAATACAGATTGTAACTACACTCGCATGGTACTTACAACGCCATCTATAAAATTAGAGTGTAACTACCGAATTAACAATGTGGCAAAAATTTTCCCTTTGTTTTTCAATTGTTGTTTTACTGATTTAATCACTTGATTTGAAGGCTGATATCATTCAATTTATTAATTTATATTTTGACCATTTTCACTTAATTATCAAATAATCTTTTAATGAGTAGCTCATGTACTAAATCGACTTGTAAATACACAAGTACTGACTAAGACTGTATTTTTCCAAGAATCATTAGAGTGTTATAAAGATAACATTCTACTAGTTAAAAGTATAATAAGTGATTATGATTATATTCAACAACATTACATATTGATGTACTTGACTAATGGCTTCCTATGTAGATTTCATAGAACCACTAATCACAATACATCACTAAAATGAAATGTGGTACTATGTTAACGCCAACTACTAAATTTGACCTTGGCTGAGCTCTACCCAGCGGCGCCTCTGAGGCATGACCTCACAAATTTAGCAAGTACATAGACATACCTACTACCATTGTATGATTGCTCAACTTGTTTTTTGTAATATTTTTTGCTAGGTATTGAATCAGGTTTTGCATTGGTACCCAGTTCTCAGGGAAGGAAAATGGTAGCTGAGCTTTATATGATTCAGAAATATAATGCTGTAATTTTACCAATATTTCCTCATGCTTTTGCCTTGCTGATTATTGAAAGCTACTACTAGCGCCCTCTGTGTGCGAAATTGGTAACATTGAGCACCAATTGGAGTAAATTGCAGGCACAGTGCTCTCCCCAGTGGAATGGATTGCTGCAATTTTCCTGGAAATTATAGGCATAGCGTTATATTGCATTTACCTAATCAAATTACGTGAAATCATTTCTGGTTTGAAAATCCTGATTCTTACTTGCCTATTATCAATTTAGCAGTTATGTATTCTGCCCTCGGAACGAAAAAAGGCACAACTGCTGTATAAAGTACGCATAGCTCTGTGCCCTTTTTCGTTACGAGGGCATTACTGCTTTCTATTGCATAAAATAAAAACAACCTTTGAGAATTTACGTGTCATCATTTTATCGGAGCGTGACGTGCGTTTGTCATTTGATAAAATATTGTTGCCATATCAATCCGCTGTGAAGCTGGCTTGGATGCAATATATGTATATGGTGGATGCGTCAGCGCGATAGCACTCGTTTGACAGCATATCCACACTAGTTTTTATATTTCGTAGTTTAACTTTCTTTCGTGTACTTTGGTAGATTTGTATATAAATCCATTTAAATTATTGAATTCATCATTTTTTTAGGATCATTCTTAGAATATACGAAAAAGGTTTTTCTCTTGAAAAAACGAACGTAAAGTTGGGCACAAAGACCATGTAATTTAATGAAATATTATATATATAGTTTCTAGATTGTGTTTATAAAGTGTCATTGAATTTTATTAGTTAGCATCGAAATAGACACACATACTCTTTTTAAACTGATCTCATAAGGTTTTCGAGTCGTGTGTTTAAAGTATACAAAGAAAACTTACATATTCCTTTATAGCAATATCTTTTGTATTTGGACTTTAAACGAAGCACGAATCCCTAGGGTCAATTACACCGAAACTGGGGTCAATGCAGAAGTGAATGGTGCCTCTCGATCATTGGGCGTGGGTTTCGAGCATTCCACAGCTCCGCGTACTCATCGCACCATTAATCTGGAAACAAAAATAATGCCATAAGTTGAAGTGCGTACAAAACAAGTAACATTTTCATCGAAATTGTAAAAAGGTTTTATGTTCACACGCTAGTACTGTCCCAGTATAAAAAAATAACATTAACATGAATATTATACAAGTAAATAAACTGAACAAACCGACATGTTGTACAGTAGGTACGAGCTTCACAGTTTATGCTGTACGATGAAAACAGCATCCAATGTGATATGTGCCGCGGCGCCGCCCATTTCATCGTTCATGTTATTTTTCTTTTGTGTCGGCGAGAGCGGCCTTTAGGAAACTTCGGCCGTGGAATGTAGTCGGCCGGCGGCAGCAGTACTCGCCCGGGTACTTGCGTTTAACGAGCGCCTTTGCCGGCGCTGGCGGCTTTCTACCATTACCAGTGTCTTCAAAATCGTGCCATTTTCTCAACGACTCCACCAGTAAAACAAAGAAGTTTACTGATCTTACGTGCCTTTGTCTTGGAGATTTGTAGTTATTTTATTTTATAAATTATAATAACCAATAAAACGTACATAGTTCTAAAGTATATCAGAGAAATTTCCTTTTTATTCATGTAGAAGTTCACGTTCATATAATGACGACGGCACTGCAATGAAATGTGCCCCATCTGGCGGATGTTCTCTTCCTGACACCGTTTCCGGGCTAGTATCCTATTGTTTATTTTTCAACAGTCTTTTATGAGAGATGCCGTTTATTTTTACAGACAACAGACAGAATTCATTCATATTTCTTTCATTATCATTCAAGTTTTCTTTTACAAATGTTCGTGAACTTTATAAAACATCATTTCCTGGTTAGGGCTACCGTGTCTACCTTACAAAAGCTAAAGCGTAGCAACAAATTTGTAATAGTGTTACAGGACGACATGTAGTGCTACATATATCTTAGGCTAGCGCGTAGGCGCTACAGGCGAGGCATTGGAATTCGAATGCCGAGCGCCGCCGACCACCTATAGGCATGAGAACACGGCCCCGTCCCCTTCCCCACGCTGCCGGCTTGTTCTCCGGCGCCGCCTCTCGCCGCCCGCTCTCAATCACAATGCTGAATTTCATTTTTGCATTGCACTTCCAATTTCCAATGTTTTTTGTGACCATTTTTCCTGAAAAAAAAAAATGAAAATTTTTGGCACAACATGAATTGTACTAAAAGAAAATAACTTCAATTCAAATCAGCAAATAAAGCATATACAAGCCAAATTTTCTTTGATTAACCATTTACTGCCTTTGTCATTCCAAAATTTCGTTGCATATTATTAAACTCTAACTAGGTACTTAAGTACTGTCCGCATTCCAAGCAGCCACTTTTTTAACCGGCATTAGACCCGCCCAGCAGTACTCCCACATTCCACAGCTTTTTTTTACGCTGTGTGGTCTCGCGGTTTCCGCTGAAGACGGCAACGTCGCGTCTCAAATATGAATGAATGTCGGCGAACGGAGTGGCAACGTCGCGCCAGACGTTCGCCTGATTGAGAAACTGAATATCTCTCCCGCGTTGTCCCTCGTTCCTTTGGCCACAGCTTTTCTTATTTGACCTACAAGTTTCAGACGACAATTTTAAGTTGTCTTATTGTAAACCACTCATACAAACTAGGTATTATGGTAGGTAAGCTGCCGTTAGCACGTGATGGTGTATTATTAATTATGAGGGTTCGTGTTCACGTTGGTCATGTTAGCAGTATTTTTAAATTCTCATTAAGTAGAGTTTTACGAACTAACCAGTTGATGAGTTCGTCTTGATTCGTCCTATTCATGCAATATCAAAACTATGTGGCATTCGTATAAGTATTTAGATATCTGATTGCCAGCAATGCAATCGAGGACGACTATACAAATGTCAGGATGTACATTGTATATTGATAGGTATGTTTAATTGTCGACTGGATATAAAATATAACAATAATAAGGTCCCAACGAAACCCCATACAGCTGTGCTGTGCACCCCATAAAGCAAATTTGAACCCTCTAAAATTACGCACGCATGCGCAGTGAGTGGGGAAGTCGAGTCAGCAATAATATCCAAATACTCAAATAGTACTCCTTTACTAGTAGTGTAGTGCGCTTGTGTCAGACTCCATTTAATTATTTTTTAAAGAAGCAAATTTTTGCCTAATCGTGCGGTTTTGGTGCAATGTGCATTACTTGCAGTGATACAATTTGAAATTTTTAGTATTTACAGCCAAAATGCCTACTTTAGTCAAATGCTGTCATGGAAATGGTAAATATCGATCCGTGTGCACTTTTCGGCCATTATTATCAAAACTGCTGTAAAATATGTTTGCCTCTTGTTTCTATTACTAAACAACTTATCCAAAGATTTAGATATTAAGGCAACAAACTTTTATTTTTTTAGTTACTTTAGCTATTAATTCGCACAATTTCCAGTTCTAGCAAACTTTCCGAATTGATAAACAAACCATCTATATTGAATTGGACCATCAATCTTATTAACTGTTTACAAGGTTCTGATATATTATCTGAAATTTTAAACTAAGCCTATTAATTATGTACTAGCCCTGGGGACTTGTACCTATATAAAAAATTGATTGCGGCCTAGTGCATGCGCACTGAGAGCTCTAGAGCAGCGCAGGGCTCGCCCTCCCCCGCAACGCGGGAGGGCGGAGGAGACGGGAAGCTGGGAATGGAATTTCGATGACGCAGCGGCCCAGCCGCCCGCCAGCCGGTTCGATCCCGAGACGCCTGCGAACTTGTTGTCATGTGAAATTGTTCTCGCATTGCCTCGACGCCATGTTTTATGTCCCTATGCAGAATGTGCGTTATCGTTTGATATAGATATATAGAGACGAGCACGCACCATCAGATTGTTACGTACTAATTAGTAAATTTCAGAGTGACAACTTTTATTTTTTTAAACCTGGTGCGAACCAACTAGGTATTTAATGAAATTGATTTGATGAGACTTGCTAATTGTGTGTTTTCTTTTTACAGTGCCACCGAAAAATCCCTCTCTGGCTTTCAAAACACCTTCATTTGACAAGACAGATAACCATGACACCTTCGAACCCATCAATTTCACCCCTGAGCCTGTGCAAGAAGTGCCTCCACAAGATATGCGCCGTGAAGATGAGCGCCTAAAAACATTCAAAAACTGGCCTGTCCCGTCTGTAAGACCAGAAGTTCTTGCAAAAAATGGCTTTTATTACCTCGGTCGCGGCGACGAAGTTCGTTGCGCATTTTGTAAAGTAGAAATCATGAAATGGGTTGAAGGCGATGATCCCGCGAGTGATCACCAACGGTGGGCACCTCAATGCCCATTCTTAAAGGGTCCATCTGCTGTTGAACCTGTCGGCCGAGATGAGTGCGGTGTTAGAGCACCACCTACTACTACTTCCGCTATTCAAATGCCAGGTCCAGTACATCCCAAATACGCTTCACAGGCTGCTCGTCTACGCACTTTTAAGGATTGGCCCCGATGTATGCGTCAAAAGCCTGAAGACCTAGCCGACGCTGGTTTCTTTTACACTGGCCAAGGGGACAAAACAAAATGCTTTTACTGCGATGGTGGATTGAAAGATTGGGAGGAGGATGATATCCCGTGGGAACAACACGCCCGCTGGTTCAAACGCTGTGCCTTCGTCCTACTTGTCAAAGGCAAACAATTTGTGCAGAAGGTCATAACAGAGTCGTGTTTCATAGAAGCTAACGAGGAAGACACCATACCTCCGGCTGTAAAACCACAAGAGCCCAAAAAGGAAGAAGCCCCGATAGAAGATTCAAAACTGTGTCAAATTTGTTTCTCTGAGGAACGCAACATCTGCTTCGTGCCATGCGGTCATGTCGTGGCTTGCGCGAGGTGTGCATTAGCAAATTCCAATTGCCCAATGTGCAGAAGGACGATTCAGTATGCTCAGCGATTATATTATCCCTGAAGAGAGAGCTCGATGCGGGCTCGTCGCTAGTCATTGGAAACAAGACCGTGCCGTCCCTGTGTGACATGTGCGACTCACGTAGGCGGCAAGACATTAAAAAACCAAAGTTCCACAAAATGTCAGCACCAATCACGAAAGTCAGTAATAACATTATTCGTATAGTAACAGTCGTTCATTATAAAAGTACTTAGCCCATATATTTTACACTACACCACATGCTATCAGAATTTCATCGGAACAATCGCCCGTTTGTAATGTGCGCTCGCTAGACTTCAGACATTTGACAACCAGTCTCAGTGTTGATAGTCGCTACCATCCGCGTTACATATTTAACCGTTTCATAATAAAAATAATTGTGTAGCGCTTCTTGCAGTCCCAAGAGGAACTAAAATGTACCTTACACATTATTATGCGAGATCGCTAGCGATTATTGACATTGTAAAGTCGCAGCACAGGTACTGATTTTAATGAAGTGTATGTTGCTTCGTTTATGATCTGGTGAAAGTGCATTTCAAAATGAACTTCACTTGTAGATCGGTCTTTGTCGCTAGTCACCAAATAGAACAAACAAAGAGACGCCACCTAGATTTGGCACACAGGCGCCACTGAGGGACGGCGCGGCCCTGATTGGGGGCGACTGCACGCCTCCGGGGCTCTGATGAGCATTCTGAACAGCCCGCAGCCGTTTTGCTGTGATGTAATTATATAGTTTCGGTGGGGCAATATGTGGATTGCAATTAGCGGCGTTTTTGATGAATAAAGTTTTAGAGTTCAACGATTTTGAAGTATTCTTTTCAATTTATTTAATGACCTGTACATAAACATTGTAAATATTTAGTTTATCATTTTGTCCCACCGAAGTGAGGATACCAACTTAGATAAATGCAATTAAAACTTATCGCTGCCTCTAGCAAAAAAATACAATCGCATATTAAGGATCTAAAAGACATAAGTCCTCACCATACCTTAATCCAACACTCATATTGTAATCCAGTACTTCATAATTTTTATTGCATTGTCTAAGTAGGTATTTTTCATTTAATTAAGTATTAAATATATGAAACAATTAAAAAACACAATCACTGTAATAATTTATAAATAACAATTAATGTTTGGAATGTTACTTGCAGTTTTTCATTTTTAAATAAGTAACATTGACTGCATATTAAACTGTTCCTGTACATAATAAATAATAATAATAATTTTATTTTGACATGATCATCCAGTCAGTATATAATAGTAGTTTCTGTAACAATTTGGCATGCTTGACTACCATTGCATAAATAGAAAGCAATGTAAATTTTGCGTTTAACATAGACTTAACTAATGTTTAATGATATAATACGAAAGTAGTTGTGAAAACTAGGAACACACATTTCTGCAGTGATTTTAAATTACATGATTTATTAGCAGGTCATATCATAAACATTTGCACAGGTAGTAATTTAGTTTCCTACTATTTAATAGATATTTGTATTAAAAGTAGATTTGAAAAATAAAATTATATGTCCTGAAATATTGTTTTTTATTCTATCGTAAATAGCGTTGTAACTTTGTAGTTGAACTATCGATAGTAGTATTCTATCGATACCATCGTGATCTTTAAAACAAGTAAAAGTGTCGATAAGGTTATCGAGTAATATTGGTAGTATCAATGCTATCGAAATCACGGCTTGATTAAACGAAGCGCAGCGAGCGAGACTTGGTATGGCATCCACTGAATTTGCACAATTTCTGAATAGAATTACTCTGCTGGTGGTGAAACAGAAATAAAAATACAATTCTATTATAAGTGAAGAATTTAGAATTTCGACTCACGACCTGCGATTATTGAGGATAAAAATCGCATAAAAAAGGAATTAAAGAAATAATAAAGACTGCTGCGCTTCGGCAGGGAATCAACATTCCGCATAATTATCATAGTATTGTTTATATTTATTATTGCCAAGGGTGCCGTATCCGTAATATCGATATTGTTGAATCTAATACTATTTTATAATTGACTCTGTCATGAAAGATCATTACTCATTAAGTACCACTGCTTTTTGGAATACGGTGGGGATTTTGTTGATAGATTTTAGATTACGAAGAAAAACGCAATTAAGTAAAGCGAAAATGAACTCGAGTATGACATTTCACCAGTACACAAAAGCGACGATACAATGGCTGCCCTGCAGATGCGGCTTTGGAAGACTGAACTACCCGCTCTATAACCAGATCTGACTCCTTCTAATTAAAGTGTTTCCGAAATTGAAAACAAAACTACTTATGAAAAAAAAACGACGATGAATAGGTACACCCCTTGACAATTTTTTTTCGAACGTATAAATTAATTTTTTGAGAGCTCTGATATTTATAATAGGTTTAAGGGGACGAAAAGGAAAAATAGTAACTGCTATTTAGTCGTAAATAAGCTGTTATTAGAAATCATGATAATAATTCCGACATCACCATAGTATAAATTTTAATATTGTAGCCATTGACTTACAATATTGTAACAAACCTATTTTATGTCATAGACTTTGCTAATCAACTTTGTTTGTCAGATAGTTCTCTAAAAATCCGCTAGATGGCATATTTTCCCTCGGATGGTGACTACTTGAACCGATTTTACTTAAGTGTGAGAAACAAACATCAGTAGGTACTATTGATAAGTATCTAGGAGTTGAGTCCTTGTGGTAACTACTGCCTGGACCTATCTGATAGTTACTTTTATACTTTTTGCATTTGTACACATGTAAGAATATAATAGTTTAGTCCTTTATTTTACTTGTTTTTAAAAATGTTGATAATGTGGTATCTTGCGAATATGATATTTTGTCAACATGATGTCTTGCCAATATCATGTTTTGCGAATATGATATTCGCAAGACATCACGTTCACAAAATATCATATTCGCAAGATACTACATTCTCCAGATATTACATTCGTAAAACACCATATTCGCTAAACACCATATTCGCAAAATACAACATTCTAAGTACAGGTAATAACAGCAGATCTTACTAGCGACAGATTAGATTAGGTAGTATTAGAAGTAACCTGTGTAACTGGAAATCAGAAATTGACCCCTTACGTGAAATTTTTTGTGCAGATATGTTAATAAAATGGTGTATATTAATACCATAGACATATCTAGATAGACGCCGCAAGTACAGCAATTTGTATGAAAACCAAGCGTGCCACATTTTTTGTACCCACTATGACGTCACAAGAACTATTTAGTGATGGAAACCATCCGATCGCTTCAAATCGATTAATTGAACGGAATCGTCAACACGCGTATTCCATTCAATTAATCGATTCTAAATAGAATAATTTTTGTTCAAGTATTTATTAATATTAATATAGTAGAAAAATACTAGAATAAGATAGTTTAGTCCTTTATTTTACTTGTTTTTAAAAAATGTTGAGAATGTGGTATGTTGCGAATATGATATTTTGTGAACATGATGTCTTGCGAATATCATGTTTTGCGAACATGATATTCTGCGAATATGATATTCAGCGACCGAGGCGTACCGCTCCCGCCGGTTACAATTAACTTGGCACTTTGTATGAATACTTTTGGAAATAAAACCTGACATTGTATTGGAAAATTTTTTACTCAATTTGGTGACGTCATCGAGTAAGAAAGAACCCCCTCTATAATATAGGTACGTTATTTAGTCAGATCGTGAGGCGCAAGCGTGTTGTGATGACAGACCCAAACAATTCCAGTTTTTTCATTGGGTAGTTAGCGGCTGCCTGTAGACCCAGTGTGAACGTGTCATTTCATTACTGTTCATGTTAGTGGAAGAACTACTTCTGACAGCACTATTCCTCTACTTCGAGAAACACGGATCCTAACTTTACATCTGATTGCACATACCAAATGTCGTGATTAAGTCGGTCCTCCTGTTTAAATTCTAGAATCAATCGGTCCGTCGTTAGAAGATAAAATTAATAATAATTTATTGAAGAAAAAATAACAAGTATAACAAGATTATATGATATTAACATGTAGGACGCCCTCTGACATCAGATAGATGCGACAAGCTGAGGACCGGGCGTAATTGCGCTCAATGGGAGATTTCAATTTTCGTCTTGCCTCGCTAGTGGAAAAGCACCAGTGGGTCGTTTTCGAAAGACGTCAAATAGTTAAAAAATGAAAGTACCATGATAAAATTTTTAAAACTTCTATAAAAACCCCGATAGTTTTTTACGAAAACTGCAGTAAAGGTCAATTATATATACTGTTTCGAGGTAATTTTCTGCTTAGTTTTCTCTACCTATCGCTAGCAATATTTTTTTATTCGAGTAAATTATCGTGGTATATTAAATAATATTTCAGGATAATACACTCAAATATTAAATAATACTTCATAATAACATTCTACAATAATTAAATAAAGAGATAAAAATTGCCGCTGAAATTATGTTGAGCAAACTAACCTTTAGAATCAAATACAAAGTAAACTATCATTAAGAATAAACAATTTTGTTATATCGCTTCGAAGAGAAATCTCTGACTTTGGTCATTTAAATTCCGGTTATTTCATATTTTGAGTAGCGCCAAACTCGATAGAGAAGATAAAGGCTGTTCTATGCAAATTTTGTCAATATTCCCTCAGACTAAGGCTACTATGTAAAGCCGAAATGTTGTAACTAACAAAATAGACTTTATTATATTATTAGTATTATTTCAAATATTTTTCCAGTCGCAGTCTGACAAGAATAAGCGAGAATGGAGACATTCCTTAGCCACAAATTCTCCATTATGTACAACGATTTTTATATACATTACCGTAGGTGTAGGTACCTACTATGTTAGTTTCCGACACACGAACAAAAAGTGACTAAAAAGAATGTCGTTACTAGGACCAACTAATTAACTCACGACTTTTTCTAGTGGTGGTTGCCTGTAAATAGTTTTAATTTTGTGTTAAGAAAAGAGAAACACCATGATGTGTAGAATTTGATATAGATTTAGGGGTCATTTCTCATAGAGCCATGGGCGCTCATCGACTTAGAAGGACTGTTCTTATGTAACGAGATCTACGGCAAACAAAAACCATGCCCATTTTGACTATCAATTTTATCCAGTCAACCAAATTCTGTTCGTTCGATGGCTTGGTGTTTTCATAATGGGCTCTAATTACGACAATGCCCTTGACCTGGAGAAAATAAAAACATGAAACGCTGTGAATAAACAAAAAGTTGACGTGAGTATTCCGCGTATATTTCAACGGGGCAGGATACAACAATCTGATCAATCTTTTTGTATCGCACTGCCATTAGAGGCAAAAAGTGGTAGTGTGTTCTGTACCGCTACAAGCTGGATCTAGCAGTAGCTAATGCACGGCGTTTACATCTCCTGATCCTTGACACGAGGCATAAAGTGCATTGATAATATGAAAAGTGCCTGAAATCATTGTGCATCGACAAATACTGTTAGAAACTTTTTAGACGCTCATTTGAGGACGGATTATTTTCATATAAAATAAAATAAAATGTATTTTATCTTCATAATTTTCTCATAAGCAGGCTTGTTTTGTACAGACTTATAAAAATTTTGTTTTTAACGCAATATTTTATTAGTTGGGTAGACATTATGTAAATTGGCAATGCATTGAAATAAACGTATAAAAACAATAAATAAATAACCATATTACTACTGCAACATATTTCAAAAAGATTAGAAATATTTATAATAGAAACTAGCATCTATTAGTTCAATAAAATTGATTTTACGATACACACGTACACTAATGAACATCACCTTTATGTTCATTATCATCATGATGTATGAGTATGGGGACAGTATTTCATAGATTAAGTTAATCAATCAAAATTAGGTTCAAATCTAAATATATTGCTGTAGTAATAGGATTTAATTAAATACATGTCGTCTCACAGTTGGAAAAGAGTTTTCTTCTAAAATGAGGGTTTTTAGGGATAGCAAAATATTATAAGTTATAAGTTAAGGAGTGTGGTAACTCCATAAAACGTAGCAGCGTGGGTTGTATATGTGCACGTACACGGCGTGTGGCTAGACGCCGTGTACGTACGCACACATTCGCATGATCTCGCGGTGCACTCACGTTGCATATCGCGGTTGTCGCTAGCGCCATTAAAATTATAGAATTGCAGCGGTCGCCACCATTCAACAGCCACACTTGTTACTGTTTCTTTATGTCATTAAAACATATTGTGAAATTCGTTAGACAACATTTTTACTTGATTAAGTTTTATTGACTGTCAAGATGTTTCACCACCATTATTCAATCATTTTTTGTGAAATTACTCCACTAGTTTATTATAATTATTAATACAAAGATCGAACACTTAGAAAAAATTCCTTCGATCCGGCCGAATTCAAACCGACGTCTCCTAGCAAACCTTGCCAGACGCTATGCCAACTAAGTAACGGAAAGAATCAGCGAACCACACGAATTTGTCCTTGTTGCCGGATCTTTAAATAAATATTAGACATCACACTCGTTGCTCTGATCCCAAAGTAGCTAAAGCACTTGTGTTATGGAAATCGGAAACAACGACGGTACCACAAACACCCAGACCCGAGACAATATAGAAAAGATAGTTTCCTACACTAACCCAGCCGGGTATCGAATCCGGGACCTCAGAGATGGCGACACCATGAAAACCGGTGTGCAAGCCACTCGACCACAGAGGCCGTCAAATCAAAATCTTTGTATTTGGTTTTCAACGACTTTTTTGCCGTAGCGTCATCTGTAAGAAATCTATGAAAGTATTTCTTCACCCAGTCAGGTTCTTACATTTACAGCTACCAGCAGCTGGCTAGAGATGTCGCTTTTTAATTGTAATTAAATTTTTATTGAATGTCAGGATGCCAGGATGACCACCATGATATTCCATTACTTAGTTGGCATAGCGTCTGGAACGGCTTGCTATAATATCGGCCGGATCGAGGGAATTTTTTTTAAAGTGTCTATCTTTGTATTAACAATTATAACATTTTTACTTTTCTGTAAATTCGACTCGTAATGTTTTGTTACTACGATTACTTAATAGAGACAGTGGCCTCTTTTTTAATTATACTATTGGTCAACTGTTTTAACAAATTGTCGCATTTAAGTTAGTTTGAACAAAAGTGCCTCAAAATCAAAATAACAAGACCTAAGTATCTACTGCATTTAACAAAGATCATTAAATCTTTAAACAAGAATACTGTGATGAACACCTTAATTTTTTTAATTTTAAAATTATGTCTACAATCTGTAGGTACAACTGAAATAATAATATGACAACCCTACAATCTCACATTCTAGCTAGAAGATCACTTCGAACAATTTGTAAGTACAGAGAAATGATAGACCTCTGATCTGTTTAATTACGGGTACCTAATTCAACGGAAAGCGATTTGTGATGCTAGACGAAACATACCTTTTTTCTTTTTTTTTTAGCGCCAAGCAAAATATTATTTATGCGTTGCTTATAATGAGTAGTTACTCGTAAAAATACTGTTATGGGAATATAGGGAAGTGTGTGGAAATTTCTAAATTGCGGATTTGCAAACAATTTTGCTAATGGTAATTGATTCACAATGGCTTAGTTGCCTTAGGCACAACATGTAATATATAATTTTGATAAAATACACCAATTTTGAAATACATAAAAAGGGTAGGAATAACGGATAGTAATGTACAGTATGATTGAAAGCAAAGCACTTAAAAACATCACAAACTTTATTAAACAATAGACGACACACTAAGCAACAAAAGATTCCACGTATTTGTTATTTTGTTTCAACAAATCTTGTTTCAATTCGAGAATTTTTCGCATCATTTCGTCGTCAGAAGGAGTAGACTCTTGTATTTCTTTACATTTGCGTAAAAAGTCTAATACTATAGTCTGACCTTCGGAGATGTCCTGGGTGTTCATAGCCGTTTCAACATTGAACAGGTTTGTTTCCAGTTCAGCTTGTTTTGCTTCGGCGTACTGAAATGACAGAAAAAATTTAATAAAATAAAGGCAATTTTTTTACACATGAAAATAAGGTTTTTACGTTAATGTGTCAGTAATATAAATCTGTACCTTAAAACGGCAAGTGCATAGAAGCGATTAGTACTTCCCCCAGTAGCAGTGATATGAGATAGCAGTTGAATTTTAACTTGTCAATCTTTGCAAACACTTGCTCGTAAACAGTGTCATGATATGCAGGCAAAGTCGACTGTAATTTCCTAAATTAGGTCCACAGGCTTTGTCATTACATTATCGCCCTACGGATTCTTTACGTCAAGATTAAACCAAAAGTTTTTATGCTCGAAAAATCTGAACGTATATTTCGCTTAAAGTTGATATAAAAAAACTAAACATTTGCAATTTAACTATATTTTACAAAAAATATTTTGAGATTTTAAATTCTGCAGTATTTTTAGAGTTTGGACATTATTTATTTTAGATCTAATTCATCGTGGCTGCATGCGTCTGTGCCCTTTATAAAATTTTAGTTCCGAGTTGTATTATCTATAGAAGAATAGCAAGCATAAAAAAAGACCCGCCATTTGCAAAATCCGGAAATTTTGTTTATTTAAGCGATATTTAGTAATACAAGAAATAAATTATCGTTGTATCTATTTCCTCGCAAATGTGACGAAAAACATTGTATGTAGCACGGGCGGTAAAAATTACACGCATCTAGTCATCAAAGTCTTGGGCTTCGGCTTCCAACAAAGTCTCGTTAGTGATTTCTTATTTACCGCTCTTAAATAGCTTCAATCGCAATTACATGCACATAGCCAACGACATTCGTACATGCTTGAAATCAAATTGCTGATATTGCCACGACACTTGCTCGTGACATATTAATAGGTATTTCCGTTTAACTATAACTTTACCTTAGTAGTACTTACAAATCTATAAAGTGTTATACATACGACGATTGACGATTGGGTTATAAATTTTACAGTGTAGAGGAATTTCTTTGGAAGAAGTTGTAATATGTTTCGTGTTTATTTTTTAATTATTATTCTTTATATTGGAGACGGCCATATTATCCCTGGACAACAACGTATTAAAATAAGAACATTGTGACTTTGATATTTGAAATAAATGTTTATATCCTGAGGTATTCAATGTTGTATTCTTCTAATTACCGTGTTTCATAATCGCGTTCAATTCCCTAAATGAGCCTGCTTGCTACTCCGGAGTCTCTACACTTGTGCCACAAAAAAATTTAACTCTATATCTATGCTCTATATTAACTACTATTTTAGTACAAAGCAATGACGATTGTAGAATGCAAATTAAAATGTATGCAAACAGGCGCTGCAACTTTACTTATTGTAACAAAATATCTTCATAAAACCTACCTCTATTATAGAATCGGGTAAATCCGCCAGTTTGGCGACATATAGACCCAGAGATTGCGTAGCCGGTCCAGGGGCAATCTTATGTAGTAATAAAAGTTGTTGATCAACCACTGAGGCTTCGGCGTGACTGTTTACAATGACGCCGGAGTGTAAACTAGGCAGACGGGTTAATTCATGGTAGTGCGTAGCGAAGAGACAGAAACACTTGGATTTTGTTGCTAGTTCCCTGCAAGATATTAGAATTAGAATTTTAAAATTAGACAACCATAAATGATCGAGTTTCAAGCTGGATATTTTTGACATTGAATTTTGTCTACTATGTTTGTTGGCTGTCCTATTAGCGATAACCTAACCCACTTGGGACAGAAACTTGATGCTGCGACTGCCCTTTGCGTCAGTTATGCATCATAGACATACTCGTCATACTGCAAAAGACTACCCGGCTGCTTCTTATTTAAGGTTATTTAAGATTAATAATGACTTACTCTGCGATAGCCCAAGCAATACCGCACCCCTCATAAGTAGAAGTTCCTCGGCCCAGTTCGTCGACTAGCACCAGAGAATCGGGTGTCGCAATCTGTGGAGGAGTCGTGACAAACATTATAGGCAAGTACAATATTACAAAGTTACTTGTTGTACAGTCTTTTGTTGGGTTTCCCAGGTACGTGTATGCCGACGATCACTGCATCTTCCATTTTTGCGGGAAGACGCAGTTAGCCAGAGCGGTATTGAAGACAGCTGTTGAATGGCTGATAAGAGATGTTATCTTTGTTATGTCGTTAGAGAGGAAGGCTTATGATTCTTCATTCTACTTCCTTAGGAGAGACTGGCGGAAGTGAGAATCGTAGGTGGGGAGAGAACTCTGGACTCGACCTCATGCTTCTACCTGGACTAGTCTATCAGCCTGCATATTTGAGAAAGTAAGGCGACGTAATGACATTTTGTATGTGTCCTTTAATATTTTTTTTTATATAGTGACGTGACGAACATGACGTGCCTGCCTGCCTGCCTGACGTGACTGGTGGTAAGTAATAAGCCTGTGCATTGCAGTTCCACTTAGAGTTACTAATCGCAAAGATCTTAGGGGCACTGTCACTGTGGCCGTCACACTGAGACATAAGTTGACAAGTGCCGTGTGCCTGTGATTTTACCAGCAAACTTACACTTCCAAACCGGAACGCAGTAACGCTCACATTACTTACTGTTAGGCGGTAGAAATAAGTACGGTGGCAGTCCCTGGACGAACTCTTTCAGAAGAAGCTCTACTGCTACTAAATATGTCAATTACGTAGTTCATGTATATCAACAAAGAAAGAAAACTCGTCGGGAATTTGTAACTAGGTGCAGGCTAACACCCACTGAATGGAGGCATAAGAGTCAGGGAGGGAAATCCGAAAGGGGAAGAATTTCAGCAGGTTGAGGCGGTTTTCTGAATCTAATTCGTAAATGCCTAATACAGAATCTAGTATTTTTACCTCCCCAGCATATGCTGCCCTCAGAACGAAAAAAGGCACAACTGCTGTAAAGTACGCATAGTCGTGCCTTTTTCGTTACGAGGGCAGTACAGTGTGTAGAAAAGTAATTGTTCTGGTAACAGATCTAGTCGACAGTCTACTATCAGAAAAAGAAATTACTTCTTCTACACACTATATGCTGGGGAGGTAAAAATAAAACTTACGGCCTTTTGTCACTTGGCACTTACCCTCAATATAGCCGCGGATTCGATCATCTCCATCATAAAAGTACTCTGTCCCTTATCCTCACGATCAGAAGCGCCAACCCTAGTACAAATGGCTCTTAAACGTGGTATTCTGGCTGAATCGGCGGGCACCATAGACCCGGCATGAGCTAATAGGGCTGCCACACCACACGAACGCATCCACGTCGATTTGCCACCCATATTTGCACCTGTCACTATGTGCATAATACAGGAGCCTGCAATTAAAATAATTAACATTTTACTACTGTGAGCTCCACACACTGCGCTCGTTTTAAATATAAAATTGACAGAAATGTCCGAATTAATGACGAGTTACTATGGAAAATACTCCATGTCTAATGTACGTTTTTGCTAGTCAAATTACAGACACATGAGACTTGTCGATTTATATAATGTCTCAAGGTGACGAACGGAGTGGCAGTGCCCTTAGAGCTTTGGAAATTAAAACTCTGAATGGCACTGCAACTGCTTTGGACAGGCGTGTCGCTTACCACCAGGCGTATTATTTGTTCGTCGTTGTGTCGTCGACTTAGTATAAAAATAAAGTTTGACTATTTTGCCTGTGTCTGATGAACTCTATGTTCTTTTGTATCAACCCATATACATTAAACTGGGTTTTTTCTAAGGTAGATCACAAGTATGATTAGAGTTTATAATGTGACTTACAAACTTGTTCATAATATGAAGAAAATTCATATTATTATGTTTTTTTTCCACTGTTTATGTACATCTAATTGACACAAAAGTTATACACATCATCAGTTGGAAAGCGTCTACTGCTGAAATCCTTCCCCAATAGAACGCCGCCGCCGCCAGGAATAGTCCTGGATTGTTTGCATCCAGCGACTTCAGCGATCTTCAACAGGTTGTCGACCTTCGGGGATCCATCGTTAATTGCGGTACTCCGTACATTGTAAACAATTGAATCTTGTTCGCTATAAGTTTTGCGAAATATCTGGTGTGCCCACCGTCTCTTCAACTGTCTATCAGTTTTTCGTTTCGGATTCTTACCAAGTAGATACTCTTTAAATGTAAAAACGTATACACACCTCGTTTAAATGCAACATCATTAGGTATGTACGAAATTCCTTCCTGGACTTCCAAACAGGGATGTCTGGCTTCCTTTACTATAAACTCGTCCAAGTCTTCAGTAATTACTGGACGGCAGTACGGGTATGGCGCTGTCGAGGCGGCGATCGCGAAAGACACCAGCACATCGAGACGAGATAGTATGTGTGATAGACAAAACAAGCATTCAGAGTAACCAGCTGGAAATAAAAATGTAACGCCTATGAGGTTTATATTACACACTACAGGTCAGGTATATACAATTTGTCGTTAATTTATTTTTTATTTATTTCATACAATTACAGATTACAGCAGCTTATCAAGGCTCTGTGAAATCTATAGTTCAATTCATTATTTCATAGTTTATTTCAATATTTTTATTTCTTGGTGCATTTATCAGCTACAGTTGATGCATGTATTGCAAGATTCCGAGTCCTTTATGAAATTTATATGGAATGACTCTCAGGTATGTAATTCTGTATTTAGGATATAGTATATTATTGCAGAGGCCGGGAAGTAAGGGACTGCTGGACGAGTATGAGTATTAATACGAGTCAAGCAATCCCCGTTCCCGACGAGGCTTATACAATTTACTTCATTTTTATAAGTGTTTCTCAAAAAGATCACAATGATATAAAATAAAAATATCGAATCAAGTTTCAAATATAGCTGATATGAATACCTTCTTCATTTATGAAGTCTGTTTATAAGTAAACTGGTGTCACGGGCAGGTAAGTGTACGTCATGCAGGCTACGTTGCACTAACGTTACTATATTACGTTTGTTTATAACTCAAGTCATAAATATATCCGTAATTATTTTCCTTTGAGATTATTTATATTAATATTAGCATGGACATTGGTCCACTCAAGAGATCTGCTAGTCGCGGTGCAAGACACCGTAGTCGGGTATTTAGTAACTCATGGCACACCAGGTGTCGCGACGTGTACACTTGGATTCACGAAAGATGACCACGGCGCAGAAGGCATATTTTAGGTCTCTTTGGAGGTGCGAGGTGGGGCGCGGGCGGAATGCGTCAAGATCGGAGCGACGCCATTGGTGCGCGCGCGTCTCGTGATAGACTGCTCAGTCGCTATTCGTCTATCGCGGCGTCGACGCGCTCACACTGCTCTCGAGTACAGTCGAAAAGAAGTGTTTCTTTGTTTTAAATTGTTTTTTATTTGTTGTTTTCGTTTTTTGTTGAGATTTGTTATTGTGTTGAACTTATTTGCTATTTTACAATGCCGCGAGGAAAAGGCAATACTTTGAATAGACAGTCGAGAAGTTTGGTGTACAACGTGTTTCAATATTTTTCACAAGACTTTAAAATACTCGAAGCTTACAAAAAAACGGCCGCGGCAACAAAGACGTCTGTATCGACAGTACAAAGAATTATAAAAGAAAGTAAATCTTCACCGTTCTTAGTGGTTTTTAGAACCCCTGGTGAAAAGAGACCGCGCCGTAACCCTGCCTCCGACGTTGACGCCTTTGACAAAGGGGTAATTAAGAGATGTATTCATAACTTTCATTTAATTGAAAAAGAATTGCCAACTTTAGAAAAGTTACGAGCAAAATTACATCAAGATATTAACTTTAAAGGATCCAAAACAAGTTTGGGTCGATTAATAAAAAGAATTGGATTTAAGTGGAAAAAAACAGAAAATAACCGAAATATTTTAATAGAAACATCAGCTATTCGGTTGTTACGAATCAATTACCTAAAAAAACTCCAAGAATATCGAAGACAAAATAGACCAATCATTTATACTGACGAATCGTACGTCCATGCTACACATGCAAAACCCATGGGCTGGGCTGACGGTTCTACAGCAGGTCTGAAAAAGCCTATCTCAAAAGGCCAACGTGTCGTTATCGTTCATGCCGGTTCAGAGGCTGGATTTGTGCCAAATGCATTATTAACTTTCAAGTCGGGCACAAAATCAGGAGATTATCATGACGACATGAATTTTGAAAATTACCAGAAATGGATTCGAACTCTATTGGTACCCAATCTCCCACCGAACTCCGTTGTTGTGGTAGACAACGCCCCATACCACAATAAAGAATATGATATGGCTCCCACATCTAATTCCCGAAAATCCGACATGCAAGAGTGGCTTACCAAAAATGGAATCAGCTTTGATTCCAATATGTTGAAACCTCAATTGTACGATATAATAAAAAATAACAAACCTCGTTTAAAGAAATACTCCGTTGACAAAATTTTGATGGAAAATGGTCACGATGTTCTCCGTCTTCCACCGTACCACCCGGATTTAAATCCCATAGAAATGGCTTGGGCCTCTATAAAGGGTTACGTGAGTAGTAAAAACGTAAAGTGGAATATTAGCTGCGTTATAGATTTAATTAAAGAAAAAGTGAATCTGATGGGACCAGAGGAATGGAAAAAACTATGTGACAAAGTAAAATCTATAGAAGAAAGCAATATAAAAAGTGACCACATCGTGGATGTTCTTACGGAGGAATTAATTATACGTGTGGGAGAATCTGACGAGAGCGAAGATTCGACAGATGTGGATTTTCCCGAATCATCGGAAGATGAAGACTTTAATATGGAACCCGGCCCCAGTTCCTCAAGTTCCACGATTCCCTCAAGTTCCATGATAGAGGGAATCATGGAACTTGAGAATAGCGATAGCGACTAAATGTGTTTTACAAATTTTTATATTTTTGGTTCAATTTATTATAATAAACATTTAAAATTACTTACGTTTGATTTATTTGCATAACCAGCGTTTACAACATTACACAAATTATTAAACCAAAATTAAAATATTATATTGTCATAAGTCTTTTCTTCATGAGTGTACGTGCGCAGACGGCCGCCATTTGTGGTCATCTTTCGTGAATCGTACTGTACCAGATAGCTTTTTTGATTTGTTTTACATTCACACGCTGCAATTTGTCAAAGCTAATATAGTTTCTAGTAAACAAACAAATAAACCAGATGGAGCTTATTGCACATATTTTTATGGATAGTGGTGACTATTCTTTTATTTTGTTTAGGATTAGCGCCATTTGGGTGTATTGTCAATGTCATCTATTGCCACGCATAATTGTCAAAGTTCAGAAAAGAATTAAAGAAAATTATTAAAAGAAAAAACTCACTTCTTATATTTCAAATTAAAGAGGAACTAATAAAATTGATATCCTCGGCCATTAACATAATATACCAGACTATCGAACAGCGTTACCTAGATATAAGACGGCATTCTGACCTTTTTCAGAGTTACGATTTGCAGTCCTCTTGAGTTAATGATATTAGTTAGTCTGGAATATATTGCTATTTAGCAATAAATTTGTCTATAGTACCTTATTTTTTATGTTTTAGTTGTTCCATGTAATAAAGAGATATTACATGGAGCGTGCAGTAAAGAACATTGGTACAGTATTGTAAAGACTCTAATTTACCTGCAATGCCAACGATTTCGGCAACAACCTTATCCTGTTCCTTCTCATAAGTCTTTTTAGTTCCCACATATTCTTCGTTAATATTATCAAGAGCGTTAGTTTTGAATCGAACGCCTCCCTTCACGGCGTCTATTATAGTATATTTCTTGTTGTCACGAAATGATTGTTCGCCTTTTAGAGTTACTCTGGAATAAGTTTTAGTATACGTTCTGCTATTATATTATCCAGTAGCGTTACATGCATGTATAACAAAAGGGGGCTCCAACCAATCACACTTCATTCAGTTCACACAAAGAGTATTAACAAGTTATTATTTTTATTGTTTATGATATTCAAACCGCCAAACGGTCGCCTTTACGACATTTGTGGCACTAACTATTTTTAATGTGGCACAGGTTAAATTTAATTGTAAAGTGTATAATTTAACCCTTAAGGCTCCAATTCCAATGCTGCGGAACGTAATGAACCATACCATAATACCATAAACCATATTATGAATAACTTTATACCACTTGTGTAACGTATGTATACAAATAAGACACGAGACAAAAAACACGTCTCGTGTATTTCGTATCGTACCTATAGTCCATTTCACATAGGATGAGTCCAGTGGCCGTAGCATGGCATACAGTGTGTGATAAACCTCCCCATAGCATATTTATTTCAGTTATTAAAGCGATGTTGTCATTATTAACTTTTTTTTATTGCGAATACTGAATCGGAAAGATACCGCACTAGAGTCACTCGTTCTTTAGTTTATTTGGTAATTAACATACATTAGAAGAACAAGTCGATAACGTTATGAAATTGCGTATATAGCTATCTTTATCGTTTAATCATTGCCGCGAAAACGATAAAATAAGCGACAAAAGTATGACGTCACGGTGCTTGCCATGTTATCGATTGTTTTCTTATCTATTGTAATAAATTAAAATGCTGGTTTATTACAGCTAAATGTTGCTGGTGAAACATTAATAATTTTTACGTTAAGGTAAAAATAAATTAGCCCAATTACTTTATGCGTAAAATGGAATATTTATCCATACAGATTTACACCATGGAAAACCATAAATCAAATCGGCTTTTGTCTATCTCGTGTAACATCTGTGCATACACCTTGTACGTGGGTCGTTTTCTTTTGCTTTTAGCTTTGCGTGAAGTTTTTGGAGTAATTGTTCAAATTTCGTTTCGATGTTGTTGATTTTATGCTTTGCTTTTTGTGTTACTAATGGACATAGTTATGCAAACTACAACCAACCCACAAAATGTCACTTTCGAGATAATTAGATTTTTGTAAAAACAGTGTGAAGAAATAAATAGGTAAGTTATTTGAGACAAACAACGTGAGCTATATGTAGTATTGAGAATAATATAGGGAAACTATTATAATAGGGGTTAAAGTATGAAATTGCCGATTTGTACTGAAAATCTAAATTGTTTATTTTTTAAATTTTTAACAAATTTATTTAATCAAAATAGTTGCCATTATTATCTATACATTGCTGCCATCTAATGGGAAGGTTATTAATGCCTTTGCGATAGAACTCCGACGATCTAGACTGCACAAACTGTGTGAAAGCATTTTGTACTGCCTCCTGGGAAGAAAACTTCTTGTCACGTAGATAATTGTCCAAATCACGAAAAAAATGGTAGTCCGTTGGAGCAAGGTCTGGTGAATACGGAGGATGACGAATGGTTTCTAACTGCAGTTCCTGAAGGGTCAAAATGGTTTCTCGTGCTGTGTGAGGTCTCGCGTTGTCGTGGAGCAATAATGGTGAAGATCGATTCATGAGTCGGGGCTGTTTTACTGCTAGTTTTGTCAACATGGTTCGGAGTTCGGCACAATAGACATCTGCCGTTATTGCTTGACCAGATCGGAGAAAACTATAGTGAATAACACCATGCTGAGACCACCAAACAGTTACCATTACCTTTTTATTGGTAAGTTTTGCTTCAGGACACTGTTGTGGCATTTGACCTGGGGTCAGCCATTGCATTTTTCTTTTCCGGTTATCATAAAGAATCCACTTTTCATCACATGTTACAATTCGATCCAATATTCCTTCATTTCTGTACCGGTTCAACAAGGCAACACAAGTTTCAACACGCGTTTCTTTCTGCAGATCAGTCAAATCATGAGGCACCCATTTTTCGTATTTTTTTATTTTATTGATTTGACGCAAGTGAGTCAATATTGTGGGTAAGGTAACGTTAAACCATGCCGCTAATTCCTGGGTAGTTTGACTAGGATCGGCTTCCACTATCTCTCTTAATTCATCGTTATTCACCTGTGTGGGCGGTCTTCCTCGTGGCTCGTTCTTTAAGTCGAAATTTCCATCACGAAAGCGTTTAAACCAAAATCGCACGGTGCGTTCATTAGTAGACCCCTCTCCAAACGCAGCATTGATATTGCGGGCTGTTTCTGCCGCGTTAGTTCCGCGTCGGAACTCGTATTCAAAAATCACTCGAATTTTCGCAGTATCCATCTTTCTTGTCTAAATTGAATAACAAAAACAATTGAAAGTCGATATTCAAATGTTTCAAATTTAAAAAAAAAAATCACAGAAACCATTTGAAAAAAGTTTCATTCGAAAACCTCAAACCATGAAGATTCTATGAAAATTCAAAGAACCTATTGCAATAAAACGGCAATTTCATACTTTAACCCCTAATATTACTATTACATTAACTATTATATTATTATATTATTATATTATATAGCAATAAATGAAAACATTATGTATTTTTTTATTTAGTTAACGAGAACCATGTTCTAGTTTTCGTAAAAAAACGCTACAGATCAACAGTACTTTAGTACATGGGACATGGATCCATTTAGCATATTTAAAAAATACATTATAAGAAGTTAAGCAGCATGGTTCTTTTTAGCTATTAAAAAGTTACTATTTAGGGTTGGTACCCCGAAGGACTTTTATTTTCTCCGTTTTGGCTTGGTATATTGCCAGGATCTTTTATGAGCGGGTAAAAGACACGTCTGGTGTTCTACCTAAATACGTAACGCAATTTCACTTGAGGTGTGGGTTGGTTCTTGTTTGCATAACTATATCCTTTTTGTTTGGTTGTTGTTGATTTTTTTATTTATTATGTAGGTTTTTAGTAACTTAATAACATAATAATTGAATTTTTTTTAGTTTGTTTATTATTTATTCTTAAATTATTGTCTGTAAACCGATTCTCTTTTCGTTACAAATTATCTCAATACGATATTTAAATCGATTTTTTTTTCATTCGATTTTACATTACTACATCTCTACAAACTTCAAATGAAATGAACTATAGTTTGTACGTTACAAACTTGTCATAAAATTATTCGGCTATATATGTTGTAAAAATTCGTTTACATTCCGTTTAGCTGGAATGTAATATGAGCCTAAGTGTGAGGCCAGACGAGCGTAATCTTTGAGTCGTGAGTCGCGTAGTTTGAGTTACGTAGTTTACGCTGCATTCAGTTTCATATAAAAGTACGGTTTGTTTCATACGATGACGCAAAATGAGTTATCTGCCGAGTTACGGGCGTAATTACGACTGAATTTTGGTCACATAGTGCGACGGGCTGGCGCGGGTGGAGGTAGGTCTAATGCTTCATAAATGCATACTAATTTTAATGGATCCATTACACTATTACGCATAAATAGACGCTTAAAAGCAACTGAATAAAATACGTTCGTCTGGCGCTCCAACCGAATTTCGGTCGAGCGCAAACTGCATAACTCACAAAATTATGCTCTTCTGGTCTCACCCTACATACCTAAAATGAAATCCAGTAGCGGGATTGCTCTCCATTTTAATACTCTTTCCAGGTTCAAGATTAAGATCGCGTGCAGCTTTTTTCAGTTCTTTTTCTGCGGAGTTTTGGAGCTCTTCTAGCTGTTCACGCAGGTTCTGTAGCTGCTCATCAAATGAGGGTTTCACTAAGAAGTCACCTGAAGTAAGATATGAAGTAAGATAATAAGGGCTTATAAGCAGGGATACACTTTTTTAGAGGACATTTGTCGCCTAGGAAGTTCCGAGTTGGATAACCACCGGCTTGCATTACTCAGTCTTTTCGAATTATAAGCAACCAGAGATGGGTCGTGGTTTAAAACCCAATCAACCCGCCTGGGTTTTTACCCAAAGAGTTTTAACCCATTTGTCTAAAATTGTGGGCAAAAACGGCGAATACAGAATTTGGTATAATAATAATACTCCACGCATTTCCCACCTTGCAATCCTGTGGATTCTCACTACTAAGGACGCACATTTCGATTTGATTTTTATGAAAATCGATTCAAGTGTATAAGATTAACGATTTTTTATATCGATTCATTGTTATGCGATTTTCAAACTAAAGGAAATTCAATAGAAAAGCAAATCGAATAGTCTAGATCAAAAAGCAATAAACATTTTTTATTAAATTTGAACAAAACTCGATTTACAAAGAAATATGTAGTTGTAAATCGACTCATCCGAAGAACAGTCTGATGTGATTAAATAACGAAAAGAGAATAGGTACGTTACGAGAATAATTTCGTTATTCAAATTAAGGCCAATGTAAAGGTGTTTTGAGACTTTATATATCTTATTTCGTTTCGGAAATATAAAATCGAACAACGATCGATCAGACATCCACAGCGAAGAAGATTGAACGAAATGACTATGTCTTGAGAACAAGTAGTCTTGCACATAGATCTTTGTTCTACGAATGAGTCGAAATAGTTTTTGTCTTCGACTTCGGGCATTAATAGGTTTTCACCCAACTTAAACCAGCATTAACAAAGCGCCGGGTAAAACCCGGGCGCTTGCCCACTCTGTAACCAGCTCAATTTCCTTATAATTGTTTGTATTAAAGGTAAACGAAAACATTGTCACGTTAGTCTACACTTTAATGAAGACGTGAGAGGTCTTCAACCCATAGATTTAGCATACTTCTATTAGTAATTACACAGTATGTTGCATTGACTTTTATTTTATATATTGTATGTCAGAAATGGCTAAATGTGTGATACATTATTCTGTAAATAGTACCATCTAGTGTTGTATCTACTTACCAGATTTAAACCAATAAATGATTTGATTTGATTGGAGCACTTTGGTGGACTGTGGTTTACACTTTTTTGGACGACTTTTTGTAAGAAACTCTTGCGCAGCGATAACATGGTTTCACGAAAATTCCAACCTACATCATCATGTTAAATTCTGCCAACAGAAAACAGAACAATTTGAACTTTTCAAAGTTCAAATTTTTCTGTTTCTCGATATTTGTACGTGTCTCTACTTTGAGGAAATCAAATCGCGAGAAAACAGAAGAAACAGAAGCCGTTCTTAACAGATCTTAAAAACCATCTGTACGATTTTTTACCTCTATCGACAGCATCCATATCGACGGTAGTCTCAATCATCTGCTGGAATTTACTCAAGTCCTCGTTCAGCTCTGAGATCGGTTCCGTTAAAGACGAATGAACTGTCGAGTTGTCTGCTTCGGCTAGGCATTGAAGCAGTGAAGGAAGCCTGTTGATAGCCTAGGGGATATAATATGTGTAAATTTTAATCTTATTATGGATTTGTCATTAACATCACGTGTTTTTGTTTGATTCCAATTTATTAATGCCATTTTATTGTAGACCATATAGGTATATTCACTAGAGTGAAGCATATCATAATGGCGCAAGAAAAAAGCGATAATGAAGAGGACTACAGTAATTTTGGTGGTAATTGTGGTGTCAAAACCGTGCGTTATTGCCACGATATTAAACACTGTTTTTTAAGTGGTGTCAATAAGTTACTAACCTGGTAAATCCTATAACAATCATGTAAGTTAGCCTTTTTTTTGGTGAGGCGTCTAGTCAATGCCTGCAAGTCAGGAATACGTCTCAAATGGTCCTCGTGAAGCTGAAGCCGTAATTGCGATTTGTTGACTAACACTTCCACTACGTCGAGTCGTTCGTTTATGAGGTTTATGTCGCGGAGCGGTTGTCGAAGCCATTGAGCTAGTAGACTGTAAGCAAACAACGAATTTTAAAGAAGTTTTCAAGATTTTAAATAAAAGTATGTATGCTTCGTTTCAATCCATTTTCAACAAAATGTAAACAAACAAGTCACTGACCCGACCATAGACGATTAAGTGATGGCCAATTGTAATGCCAACTACAAATCGATTAATTAATTGAATGAGTCGATTTGTTCATTTGAGTCATACTAGCGCTTTTCCCTACATAACCTATTAAGCATATTTAAAATTTCCGAAATTTTAATTTTAAGTCCTCCTTCAAATCCTTAAACTTAGATACTCGTTCGATTGCGATTGAAATATTCAATTTACTAATCGATAACAAAAACTTTAATTGAATGAACCGAATGTTTTTTTTCGTACAGCACTATGTAACCATAGACAAGTCATAGATGTGTAGATGAAAAATAACCTCACTTTTGGACTACCATTTTTCAAATACAATTTTACGATGCTATTCAAATAAATATTGTTGGAAAAAGTGATGAGATATCAAGTCGAAATCTTGGAAAATATACATGAATGTGTTACTTATTCGATTTATTGAGTGATTGCTTTAGAATTTTAACCAAACAGTTTTGTTTACTTTTTGTGGAAAATGGATTAGAACAGATTATAGGTGATTTCATACATCAAAACGGGGTGGGAGCCTGGAGATTTGTAATACAGGTCTAGTTACCTAGTATGAACTCCAGACTCTCGCTTAAGGTAGCTAACTTTAGTCATTATTAAGTCTTGTTTAACATATAATTATAATGTACAATCTTCCTTATGTGAGAGTGAATAAATAAATAAATAAAAATAAATAAATCAAAAGGAAGTACTAGAACCCGGATGAATTGTTTTTGTAAGTCGAAATAATTAATTGCGCAGCGTTTTGCAATCTGAGCTCCACGGACTCATAATGTCTCTTGAGGCGCAGACTTACTTCTGCACTATAAAAATAAACAAATTTGTTGCATTTCGAGTTCTTAGGTTTTCGCGATTGTTACACATAGAAAATGAAACTATTTTTCCGGATTTAAATTTTGTTGCATTTCGATTACTTTTTTTACATTGGCTACTTTATGGTGAAGTTACAGGCGCATGGGACTTGTCAACTCGTATCTCAGGGTGACGGGCGCGGTGGCACTGCCCCACAGATGTTTGTGATTTAAAGCTCTGAGTGGCACTGCAACTGTTATGAAAGGCGTGCCGTTTACCATCAGGCGCACGACTTGTTCGTGTCGTCACTTGGTATCACAAACAACAATATATCATTAGTTCTAGTTCTTAGAGGGATTTGAAGCTGAAGTTTTGGTTTTCCAAACTAATTTGAATTAGGGCTAGTTAAACTTAAGACAATGGAAATCTCTAATACTACTAGTTTAACAAAAGCTATAATATTATGTGCATTTAAAAAAATCTTTGTAGGTACTTGTTTGTTTTCGTGAGCGGGCCAGCCACCTGGTCAGCAGCAACATCTGGAGTTCATGTTTATCATATTATTATCTCACCGTTTACCCTGCTGTGTGCGACATCTGTCAAGCAAACCGAGGAGACTCCGTGAAGGTGAGTGCGATGTGTCACCCAACTCCGGTAGAACATTCAACGCCGATAACGCAGCCGCGTCCAAGTGCAAGTAACAATCAGCTTGGATTGTTGATAGCCAGAATCTGAAATGTTTGCTATTTTTATTCTTTGCTTATAGTTTAAGACGTGTCACATTCAAAGCAATTACGAACACGGTTGTTAATTAAATTAACCTACAAAGTTGTAAGAAGAAATTTCTAAAAATGTTTTGGTTATATTGATCCTTTATTTATTTTTATTTAATTATTTATTTATTTGTGGTCTGGTTACAAAGACCCATAAATACAGACCTTAAAGACTAACATACATATTAATACAAAAATAACCACTCATATAATTTATGCCTAAAGGAATAATAACATGAAGTAAAAATAAAATGGCGGCATTATAGAGGCGAAAATTTGCGAAATTTACTATCTTACTTATTATATATCTTACTATAGATCTTGACCTTATTTATTTCATCAAATTAAATTTCGGTGTATAGTATAACACGAATTGACCCAATTAACCGCGTTTAAATGATTAATTGATTAATTAAATCCATGTGTGCACGCCCTTGTGAAAATATTGTTGAAGTGCGTGTGTACAAATTAATGGCGCAACGGAAGTGTCATAACGGAAACAGAAACGGAACAGATCTCAAAAGTAAATATTGGATGAAACGGAAGCAGAAGTGCAAAGATCTCAAGGAAATAAATTCAAACAGGCCTTTGCGTAGCAGTGGGACAGAACCGGCTTATAAGAAAAATTTCAAACACAAAACTGCTAAAACCAGCGCGCACCATCGCCCAGCAATACGCGAATGCGCCAGATGCATTGCGTATGTTATAAATTTCCCATAATAGTTCCGTCTTAAACGTTACGGAATCAGAAACGGAATAAGATATGAAAAAGTGTGCGGAACTTCTGTTGAGATCTGTTGCATCACTAGTGCAAATGTATAAAATACATTCAATATGTTTGTATAATTAATGTTTGACCGGACACAGTGAAACTACACTTAGGGTCGTATTCTAGAACTCTACTCAATGCTCAAGTCAGGATTTGAGTATGGTTTAAAGCACTCGAAATCATACTCAAGTCCCTGCCATTAGGGTCGTATTTCCAGTGCTTGTGTTTCCAGTGCAATCCTGACTTGAGCATTGAGTAGAGTTCTAGAATACGACCCTTAGAGTCGTATTCTAGAACTAGAACTCTATCTAGAACTAGTATTCTAGAACTCTATTCAATGCTCTAGTCAAGATTGCACTGGCAACACAAGCACTGGAAATACGACCCTAATGGCAGGGACTTGAGTATGATTTCGAGTGCTCTAAACCATACTCAAATCCTGGCTTGAGCATTGAGTAGAGTTCTAGAATACGACTCTTAGTCTGTTATTATGTCAATGTCTACACAACCTGTGATTTCACAAATAAATGAGTTATTAATTATGACTACATTTGCTTCATATAATTTTATTTCCAAAGATTATCATTGGTAATTTTTCGTTTTATTTAAAAATGCAAATATTCCATTTACAAAGCGTGATTTATAGGTAATAACAATTTCTTTAACCACAACTTATTATAATGTAAGTTTTTAAATTTAAATTCAAGTTTATTGTAAGTGGTTTCACTTTTTCTTAATTTGCACGATATTTGCCATCCATCTTTGTCTCTTTCTTACTATGATTAAGTTTCAATGGCAGCGCCTTAAATTACATTATTAATACGTAAAAGCAATTAAATTTGAATACATACTGTCCAAAATTAGTATTATCAGACGTTAAGGAGATATATTTAATCGCAGCAGCTAAACTGGACATGGCAACAGTTTTAGATGTTTCTGGAAAGGCATTGGCGTCTTGTTGTTGATCATCTTTGAATTTAAGCAGACGATTGAGATCTTGAATGAGGCCTTCGGTGGAGAAGTCGCTCTTTTTAAGCTTTGTTATTGTAACTTGAGCTCTTTCCATTACCTTGTTTACGGCTTTATACTGAAAAATAAAATGCCGTAAAGCAAAGTAAAAAGGACAAGGTAAAAATACTGTGGAAGGTGCTTCTATGGTGTTTTTGTATAGTACCCAACCCGTATGAAATGAGGGAACGTGATGATTTTAATTAATATAGAGAATTAATTAAAATCATCACGTTCCCTCATCGTTCAGTACTCCGCGTAGTTCAAACATTTTTAAACAATCAAATGACGCACGAGAGTATGTAAAAGTATACGAAAATTGTATTTGAACGATGGAAAGTTTCATAATTAACATCACCATCATCAATTTAATCCATTATACATCACACCGCTGGGCATGCTCCAAGGAGAAGATAACTTCACATGTTTACAGCAAGAGTTGTGAACCTCTTTTGATGCGCAGGATTGTTCATGATGTGTTTTCACCGTTTGCGAGATGTACCTATTGCTGCTAAACATTGGCAAATATACACATACATACAAAATTGAAGACACGGCACCTGCCGGGGATTCGAAACGTCGACTTCTCAATTGAAAAACAACCGCTCTCAGATCGCGCTACCACCGCTCTAATAATACTTAACAAGGAATTTAAATTGCTTGTATAAATAGTATGGGCATGAAACTCACATCATCGTTGTCAGATTGCGACACGAGGCATTCAGATGGTCCCATTTGAATCGTAATGGTCTCTAACTGCGTGAGAAGATCGTCGTCTGTGAACTCGGATACCGACATCTGATAATCGGCTGCTGTGATACACGCCACGCCTACGAGGCGACCCTGAAAACATCAAACATAAATATGCCTATACTTGGTAATGGAATTAGAGATAATAAATATAAATAGACAAGTGTCAAAGATTTTTTCTCAGGTGTGTTTTAGTAAATTTGTTAAACAGGTTCTACTCTTGATATTAAAAGTACGTTCATAATTTTTTTATTCAGAACCTTAACAATTATTTTACTTTATATACCTTCCTGTTTGTAGTGATAAGATGCTCACTTCAGTCATTAAAAACCACATAAACAAAGGAGCAGCGAAAGGTTGTTTATCCCCGAAACCCATATGGCAATACATTAGGATAAAAATTTTACCACAAGAATAAGTTTTTATGAACTTACGCTATTAAATAAATAGGGTGTTTAACCGTTTTAATAATATTGCACACAATTTAAACATAATATAAAAAATGCATCATTTAGACCTTTTCTTAAAATATTATTTTTGTTGACATTTTTGATCTCGAATCTCAATCGTCGAGTACGTATTACTATTTTTTAAAGTCTAAAGGAAAAGCGAATATAATTATTATTAAAAAAGTATTTAGACTGGTAAAAAATAATTTCAAATTACAATTACAAGTAACTTGTTAAAGTAATCTTTTAATTGATTAGTTAAACGGTTTCGTTATCCTGATATGCACAAATATTTAAAAAAAAAAAAATCCGATAATATTAATTTAGAATACACTGCGTTATTTTAATCTTGACATTAAACTTATATCTAAACAGATAAGGTTCAACTTTGAATTGCAGTAGATAAGTGATGTGCGATAGAATTATAATATCACAATCAATCCGTTTTATTAGAATGATATAGGTTAATAATGTTATGTTCAACTCTTTTCGAGCAACAGTAGAGCTCCTTGTGAAAGAGTTCGTCCAGGGAAGTAGTGCCAACTTACCTCTTTCTGCCGCCAACCAGTAATGTGAGCATTACTACATTTCGGTTTTGAAGGGTAAGGGGTGCTGGTGAAATTACAGGCACGTGGGACTTGTGAACTTATGTGTCAGAGCGACAGGCGCAGTGCCCCTCAGATCTTTGCGATTTAAAGCTCTGAATGGCACTGCAACTGTTATAGACAGGCGTGTAGCTTACCATCAGGCGCATGACTTGTTCGTCCCGTTACTCGATATTATAAAAAAAATTCGTAAAACGAGAATTGCACCAGTAAATATTACTCTTTAGCTGATAATAATGTATCTCATAAAAAGGCTTTCTCAAAATATTATACCAAATTAATTGTCATCTCCATTTAGGAGAATAGATTCCTTAATTTTAGTGGATTGCACATCTCTTAGTCATTTGAATGAATTAGCCTTTTGAAATCTATAAAATAATAAGATCCCTTTATATTGAAAAATGGAACTAAAGCTAATGTCGTTTTTTAGTGCACTTATTTATTTATGAAACCTATCAATTATCACCTTCGTTACGGCGTCAGTCTTAATATTAACAGCCATCAAACAAGGAGTTTGGCCTTCAGTAGAGCCAAAAGCTTCGCTGAGAACATCTTCCAGCTGCGTCATATATCCAGGTGATCCTTTGTACTTGAGCTCCCAGTTATTGAATTTTGCTGAAGTTTCTGGTACATAGATTTCTATTCTGTAACGTTTGACCTGGAATTTTATAGTGAGAAGGTAAAATACAAGACGGTACAGAACATACACTTGTATTTGGAATTAGTTCAATAATAAATAACAAATAAATAGCATTGGAAGAAGTTCCAGGCGCTAAATATAATTACACTACGTAGTTATTTTCCGTCTATTTTATGACTTCCTATAGATTAATGTAAAGTTGTTTAATACATATAATACAAACGTGCATTGCTAAATGTAAACATCCCGGAAAGCTCAATGCAAGTGAGTAAATTGTAGTCTGCGCATGCATTTTGTTTTGATTGTTTACATACAATTATAATTGCTACGACGATGTTCTTTAAGGCTAATTACTGTTAACATACACATTTTAAACACATTATTATAAGAAGTTTATTTCTGATACTAAAATTAATAATAAAAATAATTCGTTTAGTCTTGTTCTTGGAACAACGCGTCTTATTTTGTTGTTTAGTATTTTTAATTGGTTTTGTTATCAACAGAGTTGAATAATCTATAAAATGTCAACGCGTATTTATGTATTTCATGTATTACATGAGAAAATAAGTCATTTTGTGTCATTAACAATGGTCGGAAAAAGGTGTTCTACATATATAGATATAGCTACAAGGAGCGACATAGAGTTGTTAAAACAACCGACCATTGGCTAATAAACATATGTTTTATGATACATATGTTTAATTTGTTTGTATAGAATTTGAAATATTATTTCAAAGCCACAATAGTTAAAATTTTGTACAGCTTGAAAGTAGCAAATTGATGTGATTTTATTAGTGCAATTTATTTATACGTCATAGTCTCATATGGACCGATTCTAATCTATTAATGAACATAGGGTCGTATTCTAGAACTCTACTCAAAGCTAAGTCAGGATTTGAGTATGGTTTAAAGCACTCGAAATCATACTCAAGTCCAGCCATTAGGGTCGTATTTCCAGTGCAATCCTGATTTGAGTATTGAGTAGAGTTCTAGAATACGACCCATAGAGTGTCTCTGAAAATAAAGGGCCAAATCCCGATACGTACCAAAAGTAACTTCTTAATGAGAATCTCAAAATTTCCTTTCGAAAGCACGAGGTAATCCAGCCGATTGGGCTCGACACCCATTCTTTTGATATTTGATATTGAAGAGAAAACTTCCCGCGCCACTGTAGTTGCATCCGTGCCGTGAACGCTGTAGTAGCCATCGCGGTCAAATATACGCACTGTTGTTAGAGGTTTCTAGAACAAAAACAATTTTACAAATACATTACACTACTTGTTGTCTAGATATCGGTATTTACAAAACAGAAGTGTTATTGAACGTCGACGACTTCAGTCGCCTATCGTATTATACTGTGGGCGCTGGATAGGGACTCCCAGGTTCGATTCCAGGTAGGACTAAATTTGTAAATAAACTTTTCTAAATTTGTTCTGGTCTGGGGGTTCTGGGAAGTGCTCCAGACTAAATTCTGTTGCTCTGGTATTCATGGTACAGGGAATTCCCTAGTTTGAGACCAGGCAATTGGTGTGATTGTCTGGCGCAGTATTAGTAAAGCTGCAATGTAATAAATTTAGGGATTAGGAACGCATCATTGTTCTTCTTATTGTGTCGATGGTTCTTTTATCGCATCACTAAGGCAATGGAATACTAGGACCAATGTGTCTATCTTAATTAAGCGATAATCACTTAGTATCAAAAGAAAATCGCATTAATTAAAAAGAAAATGTAACACAAAAATAAACGACATCTCGCTTCTCCTTCGCCGTAAAAAGTTGTCAGACGTAGTGGAGAGCCAAATTTGCTGTCCTTTTTACGAACGGGTAGACACTTTAATAAATTACTCAATACTGTAAATCTTCATTTACACAGAATACTGTGTGACAAGCAAACACGTACAAATTCCAATATTTTAGATTTTTGCCTTTATAGATTAAAAACTAACAAAATACCAAATTTTAAGCTCCTAGGTTACAAGAACTTTAGATTTAGATAAAATTAAAAGAACTTTAGATTTTGATGATCGCTAAGTTTGATAAGTGACAAAATAACAAACTTGAACAGTAAATTTTTTTTAATTTGTTGAAGACGATAATTTGAAATTCAGAGGTGACATAGACAGACGTGTACCCGTTCTGTTCGATTTGGCGGGAGCTATGTCTGTTGTGGTTTATATAAATAGTCAAACAAAAAAATAGAAACAAAGAATTCCCGGTAAAGCTTTGTTAAATGAACAAACAATAACATTCAGGTCGTTTTAATTTTAAAATACAAATTGTTGTTAGTAACAAAGTTTCTTGGCAAATTGATAAAATGGCTTGTGTATTTAGTCCACATAAAATATGGGACGCTCTTTTTTCCTCAATCCTTGACAGACTTCCTACATTTTATCGGAAACAATGTCAGTGTCGACTTTATCGATTGTTTACTTAACTGAAATAATGCTACCGTAGAAAATACCACCTTACAAAAATACACTTTCAAAAATATGTCTATTGCCTAACGTACGGAAAGTATTTAAGTATTAATTCTGCAATGTTGAATGTCATTACTTTGTTTCAATGAGATAATGCCAAATGCCACCAATTTCAAAAGTTATTTAATCGGTTTACTTCCGCGGAGAGTGACAGCAGAAATTCTTTGTTAATAAAACAAATAAGAACCTATGTACACGACTTATTTTTTACGCACAGATGACACACGTTAACGCGATTCAAACGAGATTCAGTCACAGCTAGTAATCTTTTGCACACGTTCACAAATTCAATGTCTCCGTAAACGCGCGTTCGTGAAACACGCGTTATTTGCGCGCATTATATATTATGTAATGTGCATTGGCGCTATACAGATGCGCTGCAATCGCTCGTACATACAAAAATCAGATCAGAGGTTCATCAACACTAAAACTAAAACTTTATAGCCGTTTTTATAACGAAAAGAAAAAACGTAATAATAACCGACTCTATTGGATAGACTCATTTATAAGTAAAAGAAAATTTTGTGGTCATTTTACTGTTATCGGATGTCACATTCTTCATTGTATGAACCGATTCGAATGCGATACAAACGAGCTTCGAATGTGTCACTCGCGTAGGTACGTTTGTAAAGCTTTGTAAGCGCGTTTGAATCGACACAAACGTAACAATCTGCTTTTTGATCCTCTACTGCAGCAGCGACGTAAGCGCGCGATCGTGAAACGCCGCGTTTGTAAAATATGCCATGTTCATACGCACTAAGAGTCACAATTCTCGCCACTGAATCATATTAAAAATATAAATACATTAGTCTGCAATCATTATTCAGGTGACAAACACCAGTAGTAATAGCTGTGATCATGTACACTAGAAGTAATTGCGGTTTGAAGTGATTGAAATTTTATTTTAAGAACGACGACTTATTTTGCAATTGTGATTCTGTGAAAACATTACTCAGTGACCGGTCGGAGTTTATCGCTAGTGACCTGGGTGAGATAGCAACTTAAAGCTTAATAAATTGGAGTCATCGGATGAAGCAATGTCAGTGTTCATCCGTACAGAGTGTGTTGCGTGTTGCAGTTTAAATACCAGTGTCAGTAGCTCTTAACGTTTTCAAGGTCAGTGTCAATTTTGCCATTATTAATAAGAATTTTAATCAAGCCGTAACTAAATATTGAAAAATTTACATTAATTTAGACTAAAATGTAACAGCATTATATCTCGTTCATTTTTAGATATGAAAGGAGGGGTGGATGCATAAATTAATAAATAATAATAGTATGATAAGATGGATAAGATAAAAAGTTATGTCAAGAACCAAGTTAGTTAACAGATTTTGTCAACGTATGCTGACATAACTTCATGAATTTATTCATTAGTAGCAAAACTAGTAGCTACTTAACGCTTGTCATCAGAACCTACCCTTAAGGTCCTTGTCTCCGCCTAAGCAAAAAGAGACAAGCGTGAGATCATGAAATCTGTAGTTTTATTTAATTTATTTAAAAGTTAATTACCGTATTGATAAATCGTACTTTGTATACTACCCATCACATTAAAATATGTTAAAATTGTTTACAAAAACTTTAAAGACTAATCTTGTTTTGATTAAATTGGTACAACATCTCTTTCTTATTCATAAACAGTGAGTGTAAGTTTATACAGAGATTTAATATGATTAAGATGCAAGTTTTGTACGCTTCAAGTTCTTTCAAGTTATCCATTTCGCTTTAAGTTTTTCACGAATGTTGTCACTTGTTTTCCAATGAAATTATTAGTGCAGTTAGTAAAATATGTACTTATATAGCATATAATATTACAGTCCAGCATGTCTTTAGTTTTTTAGCATATATATATGTATGTATAGGAATGTAGAATATGGAGAAATGTTATCCTATGTATATGCATTGAAAATTCTATCTAATTTTATTATTGTCATTTGCAGGGGCCTAACATGTCTAAAATGAAACTGCTGCTTATAACAGCTATGATATGGGCCACTGCGTCCGGAAGGCCCGAAATGTATAAAGAAAATGAAGACTTCCAGTACTCAAGAAGTTCTACAGACGAAGGTTCAAAATCAGGATACTACGGAGCCCAAAGAGGTAACATGGGTGGTAATTATGAGAGGGCCCATAATATGGATGGACTGGCTCAGCACCAAATGAGCGGGCTTATAAAACAAGTAGATGGAGAGTTAGGTGAAGGTCATAACACAAGAACTGGAGATGTATTCGCTGCAGCGAATTCAAGGGGAACATACGGATCAGGAAAATATGATCTCGGTAATCTACAAGGTCGCAACTTCGGCGAGGGCACACATGTCGACAATTCACATTCATCTCTTTCATCGCACAATGCTGGATACACTGGACAATCATCTTCACATAGTTCTGGATACAGCAGTAGTAGCCAATTACAAAATTCTAGATATTCCGGATATCAAGGATCCGATTCTTATGGTCGCGGGTTACAAAGTAGTAATTTGCAATCGCAAGATAATATGCACGCAGCTAGTGCGTATGGAGCAAGAGAACAATCGGGGTACAATTCCGGGCATTATACACAATCTGCTTATCAGGGACAAGGTTCACTTGGAAGTAGCAATGCTAATCAATATAGTTCTAGCGTATACCCACAAAACAGATTAGTATGGACTGTACCCGTAAGAGTGGTTGGAAGGCCTGGTTCTAGAGTTGCTATTCCAGTGCGAGTAGAAAACTATGATGCAGCTCAGAGTGCTACATCTTTTGATCAAAATGCAATTAAGAGCGAAGCAGAAATTCTGAATAACGCTAATACTCAAACTGAGTATCAGCCTTCAAAGAGTGCTAGACGTTACGAATCTTCATATAACTATCGCAAGCAATGGGAAAAACATGACACGAAGCCTGAAGTTGTAGTACTATCCATGCCTACGGAAAATCCTTTACCTGAAAACAGTGAGCTGCATGAAGACGCTACATCCTTAAACTCTCATAATGGCTACCAGGCGTCAAATTCTCATAAAAGCAACGTTCAAAGTGCCTATAATACGAAATCTGAATCTAGTCAGTCACGCCAATATTCAGGTTACAATTCACAATATAGCGGTGCCAGTGGCGCTAATTCAAATGCTTACACACAAGATACACACAACACCGGATCTAGTGATGTTGCGAATGTTGTAAGTGATGTGAACTCCAAACCTAAAAGTTACCATTCTTCGTACTCATATCATAAATCGTGGGAGAGACAAGGGGATCCCTATGAAATTAAACCAGTTGGTGATGGCACTACAGGACTAGAATCTCAAAGGCTGACGTCAGCGACAAATAACGCACACACCCACGCACACACAAACAACCAAGGATTTGCATCACATCGGTATGGTAACCAATACCATCAGTCTCACCAATCCTATTCGTCCCAGAACGATTTAGCCACTGATTGCGTTGGAGATGATCAGGTCAGAGTAACACGTTCGGTTGAACAACAGTCGCAGCCTAATTTGATAGATTTGGGAAATCCAGGACAACAAACTCAAGATCTAAATCAAGGTTTCAGTCAGCCAGACGAGACGCACACTTGGAATGAAAATTTTAGACAGCAAGGTCAAGATTTCAACAAACCAGATTTCGGACAAGAAACTGAAAACTTGGGACAGCAATCGCAATATAATTGGGATTCGAGTTTTAACAAACTAGAAGATTTAGGACAGCAAAACCAAGATTTGGGCCAGCGAACGCAAAATAGCTGGGGTCAAGGTTTTGACAAACTAGAAGACTTAGGACAACAAAATCAAGACTTCGGACAGCAATCACAAAATAACTGGAGTACGGGTTTTGACAAACTCCAAGATTTAGGACAACAAAATCAAGACTTAGGACAGCAAACGCAAAATGGATGGGGTCAGGGCTTAAATAACCTAGAAGGTTTCGACCAGCACACACAAAACTTGAAACAACGAACGCAAGATAGCTGGGTTCAAGGGTTGGAAGGGCAGTCACCGGACATCCCATATCAAAGAGTAAATCAATGGGATAACCTGCAGAATTTGGGCCAACAGAGTAAAAGTGAGTGGAGCTTTTAAAAAGTGTAGATTAGTGTATGTGATGTACGTAACCAGTGCTGAATATCAACGAGTTGTCACTAATCCTATTAGTTAATTTAATTTCTTCAGACTGTATTACATTAATGTATTAAATGACTAAATGAATGAAATGACAATAAATATTGTTTTATTTTATTCATAATGATAATTTTATTACTCACTAATTTTATCATTATTTTGATCTATAATATATAAACATACAACATAGGCCTACTAGTGATTAATTTAGGATACAAAATGTAGTTTAACGTTCAGTGGTACGCTCGCCTATTCATCAAGCTAAAGGAACGGTTACTTCTAGTTTGAAATACACACAAATGTTTTTGACAGTTCTATAATTTTAGCATAGTGGCGAACCATACACCGTACTAACAGATAATATACCTATAAACGTGTTTACTAAAAGACAACTAAATTGTAGAGTGCAAAACAAACCCAATTCACCTATATTAATTATGTCTCTTGCTACTATTTAAGCAGTCTCAATATACAGGGTGTTCGAGACAAACATGTTAATCCTTCGTAGCTTGAGCCTGTATGATTACAAGTTCATACTTTAAATAATTAATATGAATTTTAATTGTATATCAGATACATATTAAAAATTTATGTAATTTGACAACTGCCTGTAGCGGTTTTGTTGGCGCCGTGTTATTTTAATAATAACAAAAATAATAACGCACACACTCAACATAGGTGCCATGGACCTACACAAATAGACAACCACAAATTACACCCAAGCTCACGGGAGAAATAAATGTAGGCCATACAAAATATGTTGAGTGTGTGCGTTATTATAAATATTTCTCCCGATCCGGGAATCGAACCTGGCACCTCTGCATGGCAGTCCGACAAGGTAACCGTTTGGCCACGGAGGCAGTTAAAAGGTATTGTTTTCTTAAGAAAACAATGCCTTTTGGGGGTGCAGTCAGCTATATCCATGAAAATAGTATTGTTTGTAGTAGTTTTTATGATCGCTTGAATGTTTTTAAACAAAGGTTTTAAAATACAAAATAAATGAAAAAAATGCTAGGTGTCTAAAAGTCTTTTTAAATATGCACATGCTGTAGTAAAATTATTATTTATCACGCAAAATAGGCGTCTTGACGTCGAATTCGGGCACCAGCGTTACACCAAGTACCAAGTAAATTATTATTACTTATTTTATTACTTACTGTGATAAATATATGTGAAATAATAATTATGTAAATTGCCGATTTTATACATTAACAATCTGGAGAACACGATTTGGTACAGTTAAGTTAAAAACGATTTGCTTTAGTTCCCTGTATTTTTCGTTAAAGGATTGACATCGTTATCCCGCTCACCTTGTGTATAAAAATTCATGGATATTTAGACGCGTATAATCTTTATTTCAATTATGTATTCAGCAACTCTATGGGCATAGTTTCAGATAACTACAATCGACCAGCAGGCCTAGAACCATCATCACAACCAATAATACAGGATACAGGTGCAGTAATTCACGCATGGACCCCAATGGAACATCAACACAAGTCTCATTTATATATACCAACAGTTGCACCACACGTATCTGCGCCATTTTTAGACGTCTATATCTCTGTAAATCCAAATGTGGACAAATACATAAAGTACATTGACCAAATCCCTGAAACGTCGACTTTGATTAATGATTTAACTATTAATGAATACATAAATCAACAAAATAATATATGGGTTGATGATAGTGATATTAGTCACAAAAACATAGACAATAGGCAAATTCAACCAGGTCCGGTACAATTCTTAAAAGGATCACAAAAACCGCACGGAAAGTCACATAAACCCAGCGGAACCTTACCGAAGCTTTATTCATATTTTTACCGTGGGTATATCAATCCTTCCCACAATAATCATTTTGACAGTTTTAATGGTGGGCAACATCAGCCCCATAACTGTTCCATAGAACAAGTACACAAAATTTATGAACAATATCAACCCCCTAACTATCCTCTACGACATATACAGACTGGTTACTATAATGGAATTAGTAGAAATTATCAAAAAAATACTTGGCCAGGAAAAGACACTTATCAAAATATTAGCTCCAATCGAGATATTGGACCTGGAGAAATGAAACCAGATGGAGTTTTACTAAATACTTATGATGGGTACAGTCATCAATTATCTTTACCTATGTATGCCCTTAAGGTATACAAAACTCCTAAAGAAACACCAGAGATTCACATAAATCCACTTTATAGGCCGAATTTGAAGAATAGCATAGCACATCCCAATGAACGAATAGAAACAACAGTTAAATACGCACAAGACATAATTAATCGTCCAGAACTTTATTCAGATATAAAAAAAAAGAAAAAGAAAAATAAATTTAAAAAAACTAAATTAGGTACTTTGGAAAAAGTGATGGTGGAACAAAAAAATCTTGATGATTTAGTTGAACAACGAGACGATCTAAGTCAGGAAATATGGGAACAAAACTTTATTAATCTTGGAAAAGAACGAAATATTGGCCAAGGTCATGAAAAAAAATCTAATAGCAAAGAGCAAAGTGAAGAAGTTCCTTCAATATGGGACCTAAATATCAACCAGCTAAATGGTAATCCAAAAGGATCTCAATGGCATAATCATATAGAAAATTTGAATGCGAGCCTGCAGAAATTAAAAAATCATAAACAAGCTGTGGAGGAATACATATATGCGAATACAAGGTCAATACCTCTATACGAGAACAATGTAAAAAGGCAAAGGAAAAATTTTAGTCGGGTTACCAGAAAAAGAAAAGCAGGTGACACAAAAGCTATAGAATTAGCATACTTAAAAGAAATACAGGGTACAACAAAACAGCCACCAGCAGAAAAGCCGTCTGAACGGACACGCAGTCCTTTATGGAATGCCATGGAGAGTTATTACACTTTTGCAAAGGATATCATTGTTTCATGGTTTGATTGATTAAAGGCTGAGAAAATACTTTTAGATGCTGAACTACATAGTTAGTGATTCTTGTATTAGTAATAATGTGCCAGACAACCACACCAATTGCCTGGTCTCAAACTTGGTAATTCCCTGTACTATGAGTACTAGAAGTAACGGAATTCACACTGGAGCACTACCCACACCAAAACAAATTTAGGATGGTTCATTGCCCAATTTGATCCTACCGGCAATCGAACCCAGGATGACCGCATCGAGCGCCCACAGTGCTAACCGTTGGGCCACCGAGGTTATTAATAATAATAAAATAATGGTAACATAAATTATATTGTTAGTAGAAGAAATCTGGTTTCTGAAAACACTGAAGGCCTAAATTCAACATGTCAATTATACATTAAGGAAATAGTTTCAAGTAGCTAATTGCTATCATAGGTATTCACATCAAAACGAAAAAAATAATTTGCTCTTATTAAAACTTCAAAAATATTTTGAAAATAACCTCCGGTTAAAAAAATCGACCTCGAAAGTCATTCATCCCCTAGTTTGCCACCCTCAGAGGTGCAATATTTTCTTGAATTTAAGTCTGAGGTACCTTCATGCCCACAAAAAAAGAATCATCAAAATTGGTTCACAAATGGCGGAGTTATCACGTAACATACATACAAAAAAAACATACAGACGAATTGAGAACCTCCTCCTTTTATTTGAAGTCGGTTCATTATGTATAATGTTCCTTCCTCGATTACGTCACCACTTACTATTAGAGGTGGGCGTTCAAACGAAATGCACGTAAAAAGTTTGCTTTTTAAAACAAGCCCATTAGCACGCTTTTCAATTTAAGCCGTTAACAACGTGCTTATTTTCAAGTCCCACGATGTATGTTTCCTAAACAAATTAATTCATCAATGTGAATAATAATTTTATAAATAAAAATAAAACGCTTCTTTTACAAATAAACTTACTTATCTTAAAACCTTTAGAGGTCTACTCTTGCTTTTCGCTATCAATACAATGTTGCAAGCTTTTTTAACTTAAACGTTTTTCTAAACGATATTGGAAGCTTCAAACTAAAAAGCGTTTAAGTGGAAGCTTTTAAAAAGCATGCTTTTTAAAAAGAGCACAATGTCTTAACTTTAACAAAATAAGCAGTTTTTCCTATCTCTACTTACTATACAGTGAGACTGTGGTCACATGTTTACTTAAAATCACTATCAAATATTTAAATACTATTCAATAAATACTTTTTTGCAACCACATATTAAATTCAGGATAAACAACATACATATATTTTTATGTAATAAAAAATAATGTAATAAGGAAGCATGTCAGAAATCAACTAGCTAATGTGTACACATGACTGTCACAAAACTACACGCCTAATCATTCAGAAATAAAATCCAATCAAATGAGGGATGTATAATAATTATAAATTAATAATATTTTTAGGAGGCCCATGTTCACCAGAGGACGTCTTCTGGCTGATATGATGAATATTTTTTATGTTATAACTATGTGTAAAATGTTGCTTATAATTAAATATGTCAAGACATAATGTAGATAGATATATTGTATTTATTAGAGTGTGTTTATGTATTGTAAATTTTTGGTAAAAAACAGAATTTTGTTCACAAGCATTTTTGTTACAAATTTATACCACCCCTTACTAAAACACAATACTGTACATAATACACAATATTGTCTATTGCTGAAATGCCAGTTGCAATATTGCTGTTTAGTGAAAGGTGTCCCAAATATAGGCCCTTTTCTCTATGTATGTATGTGCATCGTTCAAAGTTTTAAAAATAATATTTTAGCTACATACCTCTGGTAGAGAATTAAAATATTTAACAAAGGCCTCTTGTTGAACCGAATCTGAAAGCAAATGCATGGATTAAAAACCACAAAAAGACTTCAGTTTCTGTAACCAAATTGTTCATAATAAATATACTCATGTAAAATGTACTTTAGCTGAATAGGGACACAGATTACAGAAGTATGTAGGAATGAAGCTGTTGTAATTTTATAATAATAATTTTGTTGGGCCTTAATGTGCATAGACTAAAAGTTGTGCAACAAATGCACAAAATTTTCCCACAGCCTGCATCAAAGCCATGGGGCACATATGACATGGATTTGTTTCATATCTAGCAATGCGATGATAAAGGATAATTTTCACACAATGGATATGTCTGATGTTGACTATGATAGTCTGACAGGGTGTGAAGGGTTGACAGGACAATACGACTTGATGATTTGGTTGGTATTGTGTGGCATAGCCTTATTTTGTAATAGTAAAATAAGTCATAAAGTCAGTCTAGTAATTATTATAAAATGAATTGTAATACAAAACACACAAATAGTATCTTTATTTGACTACATTTCCAATACATTGAAGCTCTTTACTCTTAAAAAGTTCTTGATAATTTGCAATAATATATAATAAATACTTTATTGCACAAAGAAAAGATACATGAAACACAAGTTATAAAGGACATATACAAAGTGAGCTTATCTCTAGAAGAGATCTCTTCCAGCCAACCCTAGCTAGGTGAAAAATGAAGTCGTACAATAAAATTAAAATTTAAATGTGAGTTATATATACATGTAAAGGATGACAATATATACATATGACAGACATACACACCTACATGAACTTTATATACATAAATACGTACATAAGCAGAATATATATTATAATCTAAACAAATTACTTCTTTATAATATATGTTACCTAATAAATGTTATCCTGTCCTTAGGTGTAGAAATAAAATACATTATTGCATAATGATTATTGGCTATTACGCCACTGTATTAAGGTATTTAAAATATTTATTTAGTAAGTGCTTATTTAATAACTGCTTCATAATTTATTTCACAGTATGTTTATGTTGCCAAAAAAAGAAAAAACCTTGAGTTTATTAGGTACCTATTTGCAAGTTTATAGTATAATGTAGTAAGAAAAAAAAATTAAAATAAAATATCTTATATTGAAGTAGTACACAAAATACTGGGCAATTCATTCGGTAGGACCTACTTGATTATCAGAGGTTTGGAAGATAAATTATGATGATTATATCAGGAGTTCTCTGAAGAAAGGTTATATCCTAAAACAGGTGAAATCTATTGCATTACAATTTGAATGGACAACACCAAAAGAGGGTAAGGGTAACTGGAATTGTATGGGTAAAGAATAAAAAAATTATTCAAGTACTTAATCTGCAATCAAACAAAAATTTTTTGTTTTCTTACCCAGTCTTAGGGCCTCTATAGGTTGTAGTGATGACATTCTGTGGAATATTCTTAATTCTCAACAATATTTGTGAAAATGAAGAATGATAAACTCACTTCCTTTTTAAAATGATTTTGAAGCATAGAGAAAGTTTGTACCCGTCGTGGACCAAAAATTCACTTGTGATTACTGATTATTCCCACCAGCTAATGGTTCTGAAATAACTCGTGTGCCGTCTAAGTTGATGGCAGTCGGTAGATCGATGCGTTATTATCCGATCTATTGAGGGTCTAAATTGGTCTAAAGTCTAAAAGCAAGGCGAAAAATGAAAAATAATTTTAATCGGAACGATGACTAATTAAGTAACCAACCATTATCCTTCTGTCAAAATCAAAATTGGCGCGAACACTTGTAAACCACCCATTCATTGAAACTTGCATAGACTGGCTGCATTCAAGAAGCTTTTTGGCTGCGTTGCATGATTGATTTGACTTATTGCTTTGATTGGGTAAATTTCCGAAAATTTTCAAATAGTGGAAATTTTTCCGAAAAAACTTTTGAAAAATCGAAAAATGTTGGGAAAATAAAGGAAAAGTTTAATTCGCAAGCTCATATTATTTTTTTCGCTTAGAAATATCTTTTGAAGTTTTATTTAGGCAAGTTAAAAATAGCTAAAAAAACCTTTTGGCGCCATCGTTCTCGTTTAGTAATTTTACCTTTTGATAGGTGTCAACGTGAAATATAGAAAATTACAGGTAAAATTGGAAAAATATGAGGAAAAATATTTATTTTTCTGAAAAATATATTTTTTCAAAATGGAAATTATTCCACGATCAAACACTAGCCTCATAGTGTTGGGTCATTGGAAAAAGTACTATTTAAAAAAAAATCTTTTCAGCAAAGTAAATATTTTTCCGGAAATTTTTCCAATATTTGACGTTGAGATCTGTCAAAAGTTGAAGTTACTGAACAAAAACGATGGAGCCAAGTGGTTTTCCTCGCTGTTGTCTATAATTTTAAATCTCGTTTTTCTTTAACTTGCTTTTAGTTACATATACAATTTAATTTTATAATTCACGTTAAATAAAACTTCAAAATATATTTCTAAATGAAGAACGTAAGCCTTCGAGTTATATTTGTTCAATATTTTTCAATACCGAATATATTTCTACTATATTTGAAATTTTTTGGAAAATTACTCAACTTCAGTGCTACTAAAACTAATGCTTTTACATGACATCTAGAAATGTCTAAACGTAGAACATAACAATGTGAGCCTTGGAATTATATCTTTGCAATTTTTAGAAAATTTTCCGGAAAAGTTTCCACTAATTTTCCACATTCTTCTTCTAAATATCTGAAATTATTCGGAAAATTTCACAGTAACATACATACAGTAATAGTAGATAGAATAATGACGTTTAATAATCCATCAAAGAAAAGAAACACTGCCCTGCTGACATTGAGTCAATGCCTGCTGAGCACAATTTAAAACAGTGTACAGAATGCGTTCTTTTCGTTCGGTTGTGATTGTATCCAAACAATTTTTTTTTTCATCTGACATTGTTTGTCTATCTATTATAGTGTAGGTATGTTTCCTTTCAGTGTATAGTTTATAGTTGGTAAAGTAAATGTTTTTCACCTATTGCAAATAAGTTTAATATGTTGATCTTTAAGTGTGGAATTGTAGTTTTGTCATCAACCTATATTTTGTCGTAAGTATTTTACATGATTAATCATCCATCACCTCATTTATTATACTTTCATAAGCAGCTGGCGTGTTTCGTGATTTTTTTAAAAACTTTATTTAAATTGATTTCATTTGTTACTAGCTGAATTAGGCTTCAATAAGGGCTTCATCATCAGTCATTTATTAATAATTGCCTTTGTGTATTTTACTATAAATAATGAAAAGTAAAGGCTTTAGTTTTTTTCTGTTTTTATTTCCTTACATACTTTCACAAATTTTTGAATAATTCCTTAATAGTTACCTTCTTGTGACGTATAAATTAATTGCGTGGAACAGTTTTATTAACACAAAAATAAAATGAAGATTCATTTTTCAGCAAGGGTTTAGTATTGAATATTATTAGCGGAAAATACTGTTGTAACTCAAAATTGTGGAATTGATTGACACGATTTGAAAATAAAAAAAAGTACTGAATTGTTAGAAGAAGTAGTAAATTCGTAGAAGATCTTATTGCGAATAATGTGAATATTTTTATTTAATACATATTATTTAGTTGCCCATTTATAATCGAGAATATTTATTTATTGGTTTCATTAAGTATTTTTTAACTTACAAATCGTGTTTTCTCAATTCTTTTAAGTTCAATGTGAGATTTGATAAAGTTGTGACTCATAATATTTCACATTTTCAGGTTTCACTTGTTGACCATAGACATCTAATTCTTGTAATAATCTTTTATTCTATTTTTAAAACCACTATGTTCAATTAATTATTGTATTATAAATTACAGGCTTTGCTTTCAAGTTGTGAAAGAGACAAACACTTTGGATGTTGGCCTTGCTTTTTTGTATATTGCCAGTGGTGCAATAGGTAAGTGGCATTTGTTAGTATTATTAAGGCATAGTGTTAAGAAAGGTGCACATAACAGTGTTGAGTAAACTTACATAATAGGTTTCTGTAACAAAAGCTGCAGAATATTGAGCTCATGGGGTCACTCAGTACTACAGTCATTATTGGTACTATTATTACTTTACCATTGCACTTTATCTTTATCTTTTTAAATTAACACTTCACTGTTCAACAGAATTAGTTCATACTATTGTGGTTGAAATCTAGAAGTTGCAAGTATTTATTCATGAATACCATAAATTAAAGAGTACTAATAATTTTGTGCTGATGTGATTTTGCTTTTTATATGTTTGCTATGACACTTTTAACTCTGTTAAATGTCAACATTTCCTTAAAATTTTATGAAATCAAAAGACACCAGTCAAATTTTGTCTTCTTTAACTTGACATTGGCAGAAATATCAATTGATGACGGAGCTATAAGATTATAAAGAAGATGTTTTTTTATGATCAACACAAATAAGTGTTCTTTCTAATTTATTATAGTTCACTCAAATGTCATTCATCCCCTAGTTTGCCACCCTTAGAGGTGGAATATTTTCTTCAAATTTAAATGGGACTGCTTCTGAAATACCCGCTTTGCAACAAAAAAGAATCATCAATATCAGTTCACAAACATACATACACAAAAAAACATATACTCGAAGCGAGAATCTCCTCCTTTTTGAAAAGTCGGTTAAAAAACACAGATGTTTGTCTTTCAAAAAGTATTGTAATGTAATTAATTAGGTAGTTAACTTTATCTAATTGTCTACTAATAGTGCATGTATACTTTTTAAGATTTTTATTTTCTAAGAGTGATGCTTTTTTTTTGCTTTTTTCTTTCCTAAATGCTTTTATTTCATTGTTCAACCTAATATACATATTCTTCATTTATTGGTTCATGCAATGGCTAACACATGAAAAGACATAACTTTTACATAATTCAGAGTTAAATCCCGCATGTTGGCATTTAGATGGTATCAGTACAGAAGTGTGCTGACAAGTGGGGGCTAATCCTGAAAGTACTAATGAGTTCCATTTATGAAATTAACACGTAATGAAAGGACCACTGTTTCATGGTCAAAAAGTAAATTGCTAACCTTTAATTTGTCATGTTACTTTACTAATAACATGGAACATACTAACAATATCTTTTTCAGCTGGCAAAATCGTCTATGACAGATATCAGCAAGTGCATATTTTAGGCTCATTAACCACAAACCCCAATGTGACTAGCTTAGCGAATAGACTCGCGACATATTCGGCCGCCTTCCTCTCCCTGAGCTTCCTGGTTTATTTCTTCCTGTTTCTGTTTAAGGTAAGACTGGGGAGACTATTTTGGTACATGTTATTTGTAAAGTGTGTTTTGCATTTTGTCTGTATCTAATTCAAATTGTTATACTAATATTTATGATGTTATTAGTGCTAATACTAGCAAATTGTAAAGTATGATAACATTGTGATTTACAGTGTTTTTAATTTGTTAATGATCTGAACCCATATTAATTATCAAAAAATGTCATTCATATGCAACTTGTTATTTTGTTAAATTATATAATCTTACAGTACAGGCAAGCTGTAGGTAATTATGTAAAATCAGTACAGAGTACTAAAAAACCGACCTCAAAAGTCATTCTACCCCTAGTTTGCCGCCCTTAGAGGTAGAAAATTTTCTTCAAATTTAAACGAGACCACTACTGAGATACCTTCTTTCCAACAAAAAAGAATCATCAAAATCAGTTAAAAAATGCCGAAGTTATCGCATAACATACATACAAAAAAAACATAGTCGAATTGAGAACCTCCTCCTTTTTTGAAGTCGGTTAAAAATGTAATTGATGGTTCATGAGAAGTTTGATGTGAATGTTTTTATTTGTTAATCAATGTGGAACATCCTAATTAAGGTAGTAACAATGCATAAGTCAATACTCGGTTTACCTTAATGTAAGTGATTAAAACCTTTGAAAGTAAATCTACAAATATATTACTGAAGTAACCTTCATAAATCAAGTTGACATGCAGATGCTTAGATATTTTACTACTCTGTAAATTTAAACTGACATTGGGCCAGGGATTGTCAGGTTACCCAGGTTGATTGAGCCTTATAGCCCATGAGGGGGATCTCGCCTCTTGCATGTGTTGCAATCAGACCTTCGTTTTTTCGTTATGAATTGTTATTCTTTATTGTTTAATAATTGGTTGTTTTTGGTTTAAGGTTGACGCTCATTGTACGACGGTATTGAGTATTTTTATATGCGGTTTTGGCACTTTATACATATGGATCCAGGTATGTAAACAACAATTAAGATACTTATCTGAAACCAAAAGTGCTGTAAGTCACATTTTTATATATACATGTATTTAAAAGTATACCTATTGATAAGCCCTACCTTAGTACCTATAAGTTTTCTATAAGAATTTGTATCTTATTAATTCGGTCTGTGCACGGGTAATTTTCAGGTTAGGGCGCGTTCCCATTATGTCGTGACGACAGATAGTCGTGCAGTTTAAAGTGTCATGGTTTGTATATTTAAATGAAGATGTTCACACATAAAATAACACGATTAACTGTTGGTCACGACTTTTTTGACGTTACGACTACAGACTGTCGTGACAATGGGTAGAGCTAGAATGACAGTCATCCGATGATAAATAAAACGTCACGATAAAAATGTGACGACAGATAATGTCAGCTTAAAACATTCTGTCGTGCAAGCGACAAGGCGGCTGCTGTGAACCGATAATTTGTTTTGACGATCTAGTGGGAACAGCTAGATATGATAGTCGTTCAACGATAAAAAAAACGTCCTCGACACAGCACGACAGATAGTCGTGATATCGGAACAAGTTACGTACGTACGTTACGCGACAGCGATAAATAAAACGTTACGAGATAATGGGAACACGTTCTTAGTTTTTTCTAAATAATTTCGGTGGCAAATTTTATTATTTAAGTATTCGAGTATAAACAGATGGGTTTTATGAACTTCATACAGCCCGTGTGTTTATAGCCAGGAAGGCTGATTGCAGGATAAAGAAAGGAAAAAAAAGTATTCGAGTATATCGTGAAATATTAAATAATATTTCAGGCTGATAAATAATGCTTCTTGATAACATTCTAGAATATTTAAATAATAAAAATTACCACCGAAATTTGGTAGAGAAAACTAACCTGAACATTATGCGCACCTCGATGGCAATGATAGCGGGACCGCGGCTTGCCTGATGGGGTATCAGCAAGCAAGGGGGGCGACGAACCGAACCAGTTGTCGCCTATAAAAAATGGTTCGCGCGTCACTTGAGATAATGTACTATATTGATATTCCTAACTATACGTTCCACTGCTGGACACGGGACTCTTCCAGATACATCTATTAACAATAAATAAAACAAATAAAATAATTATTAATTTACAACGTTACAATAGAAATAGGCTTCCGCCACTTTTGTTTCCAGTATATAAAAGCTAAATAAGATTCTGCCCCCTACACACAACGAGCACACTCAAAGCACTGTACCGGCAACACCTACTCGCACTTAAAAAATCTGTGTCTTGTGTTTATTCTTTTACGTAGTCAGTGTAGAATCGAATTTTGTTGTTACTTTGATCTATTCACGTTATATGTATACATTATTAAATACTAAATATATTATACATTAAAACCTCTTCACAATCACAATTTACTCCTACAGCTGTAATTATGTTCACACTCGCCCGTGCACTTACATATCAAATAGGTTATTTTAGATGCAGTATTTAACCTTTACTATGTATATTATTATCTCAATGTATGTCTTTACGCATATTCATTACATTTTTGCTTTCAAATTACTTAATCCCTCTCGTTGGAAACCAGCGCCTTAGGAAACTTTAGCATATACTGAGTCAGCGCTCTTTCACTGCTATTACAATCATGTTATGTTTTTCCTTTCATGCTTAATCTTTATTTGTGTTATATCATTAAATAAAGTGTGTATCTATCTACACTAAAATGTGATTTATTTATGTCAATATAAGGGTCAAAGATACTTAAACTTGGCACGACCTCCTGAGTTTTCGAATTCCTAGTAAAAGTATTTTCAACTTCTTGCGTATAATTATTAATTTTTTTGGCAGTTGTCTATGGCGATCCTGTCATTGTCGTTCATATTTATTGATAAACTTGACACGATACTTGCTCTTGAATTTGTTTTCGACTTATAAAATACACAAAATAATATACATACATATTGCCATATGTATTATGGTCGCTAAATTGTCACTAAGTGCCACTAATAAAACGAATTGATATGTGACAATCTATTTCCTAATAATCCCAACAAATCTATTATGGGGGCGCTCACCGTTCTGTTACGTAACGCAATACGTTCATGTTTACTCTTTGACTACGAATAAATTTGTATAGGTACTACATTTGCGCAGATATATTATTAGTAGAACTTAGTCTGAAAGACATATTATTGTTACCGATTCCACAATATATTATTGCATTTGCTCTCGAGTTTCTTGCTATCTGGATAATTCCACGTCGGAAACAAAGCCGTAGAGTCAAAATATGAGCAATAAGATTCCTGTTGATATTCAAAATTTTGCTTAATATGTATATAGCTTCTGCGTGCTTGGATGACAAAAATCCCCGGTAGTGACCCGTTTAGCTCTTGTAGGTTGTCTCGATCTGTGTATGAATTTTGAAATAAACATTGTAAATGATAAATGTGTACCTGCTAATATTTATATATATACAAACAGCAACCCCTAGAGTTTCTTGCTCATTCTTCTCAGGGAATCTGCCTTACGAATAAGCAGTAGAGTTTAATCAATATAACGATTTCAAGTGTAATTTGCTTATGAAATAAAGATGATCCGACTTTGAGTTTGCAAGTAGCATGACCATTTTAAGAGGTACTAAGTTACCTATGAATAGACATTTTTAATTTAGGATTCAAAGTTATTTGTTTAAAGTTAATGACAAAGTCTCGTGGTTCCGTACATAGCATAAGTAGCGTGCGTTTATTTATACTCGACTATTTAGCAATTACATGTAAGATTAGCCTACTTAGATACGTCCCTGCTCATCGCGATGTTAGGTAACGTAAGATTACCTACAAGTGGCTAGTTACCTAAGAACCAATGTAATTATGTTATAACTCTCTCGACATATGAAACTGTTACTTTCATTGCCAAGGTCTTTGAATATAACGTTGGTAAACTTGTCCTTATCATAACTAACGTATAGTGCTTCTACTTTCTCAATGCCCCTTGGCAATCATAGGATATCCGAATGCACACGAATATTAATTTCCATGCCCATTTTGTTAATTATTATATTTAAAATCTACCTACAATAATTTGAATTTTGAACAACGTACTTTATTGTTGTTTTGATTTCCGTGTGGATTATATATGTTACTAAGCAAGGTAACAAAAATATAAAGTAAATAAACTGTGCTTTTTTATATAACTACATGGGAGTAAAACATCATGATGTTCAATAAATTAAATCTTATTATTTATTCATTTCAGTGTATTATAACAACGTACGTGTCGACGTTGTACTACGACCAGCATTTAGCACTGCTTCGGCAATACCTTGCCAATGTGAGCTTCCTAATTGTAATCATTTTGGCGGTGTTTGGGATCGTCACTACATTTTTACCCAGTGGTAAGTGCAAGTCGACGTAATCAGCACAGAATACGTCACATTAGAATGCTATATAACCTTTTTATTTTGCCGAAGTTAGGCGCTGTTAGTGCTGTATTTCTTGGATTGATTGCCATACTACAGCGAAGTCAAAGGGTGGATCGCCCTTATCGCTCGGAATATCGTCTTCGATGATATTCCGAGGATTTTAGCTGGTTGGCGATAGTAACTAATTGTTTATGTAGTTCTTATGTATTCTTCATGAAATCTGTAAAAGGTTGGTTTGACTGGAAAAAACGAACATAATATGCGATTTTAGGTCCGAAAAAATGGTTCCAAATTTTCAAGTGGTTGTTAGATATTAGACCTGTATCTTTCGATCATTTCTGATAACCCGGGATGATCATGACCCATTCGTAACGTGATCGGGTGCAATGATTCGATCATATTCATGTTCGATAATTTAGCGGGTCACTTGTCGCTCACGATAATTCCTTGGCGTCTAAAAGTGTCAAACTATAAAATTAGCTTTTTTTCTTTTCTGCTGATGGGTAATGTGTATAAAGTTAAAGGCATCATTGATAAAGTACACTAAAATTTATTTCTGGGAAAAGTCACCCTACAGGACAAAAATACATAACAAAAGACTATGGGGTTCAAAATGACTAATTTATTATTCTTAATACTAATAACAACATACCGCAAAACAGATTAAACTTACAAAATTACCATTTGTAATGGACACTACGCCACAGAGCTATTAGGATTAATGATGATCCGTTAATCCGTTAATCCACCCGTTGATTCGTTGATCGATTGCTTGAATTTTTGGTTCGATCGAACGAAGGTTCTATCAAACGAATGCTCTGTCGAACAAATATTCGACCCAAACGAAGAGTGAGAAGGCGAATCAAAGATAAGAATCGAAGGTAATAATGTCAGTTCCAGACTGAGTGTTATGTAAATTGCTCTTTCATTTGTTGGTCTATTTGTATAAAAAATAATATAATAATAAATAACATACTCAACACAGCCCCGCACTAAGGAAACCCTATGTCGCGGGTGCCAAGGACTATGTGTGCACATAGACAACCACAAATTACACCCAAGCTCACGAGATAAATAAATGTAGGCCATACAAATATATCTCCCGGCCTGGGAATCGAAACTAAGACCTCTGCGTGGCACTCCGTCATGGTAACCGTTCGGTCACAGAGGCAGTTTTAAAACAGCTTTACTTATATACGAATGATGGAATATGTATATCTATTTGATTATGAAAGAAATAAAAAATGGTTTTAATGAATTAGAATTTTTGTTTCTATTTCAGGTGCCAGTGGTATATACATCTGCTTCGTGATAACATCATTGTGTAACTACACCCTGGCTGCGATATTCTGCGTTTTTATACTAAGTTTCGAGAAGGAATATCAGTATTTTGCGGAGGTTTGTAATTAATTTCATCATTCATAATTAATTTTTACGATATTATTATGTTACAGTAGACGAAATATTATTTGCACCGATTTGTTTTATCGTTTTATCTTTCGAGTACAGTAGCACAAAAAATGTACCTATTCGGTAACGCGCGTGCCATCTGTACAATGCCAAGAGGTATGAGATAAGTTACAGTTTAAACAGTTTTACGCACTGGTATTTTATTCTAAACTTGACAATCTTTATGTAATCTAAACTTTGCTGAATGAGTCGGAAAGGCGTCGGTAGTCGGTATTTTACGAATTGCCCACAGATTAAACACTGACCTAATGTGTAAAGAAATAGCATTTAGCACACCTGCCATGACTCGTACGATAGACCAAGAATATCTCATGTATGCTTTAAGTAAAATAAGTGTTAATGGTTTTTATTACACTATTTTAATAGAAAAGATAAGCCGTTCTAAGCATAACATTCATTGGTGCAAATAATATTTCTTCATGTATACAGACATATTAAACTAGATTGTACTACATGTTCGTAAGTAAATTGGCTTAAAGGTCAAAACATACTCATCGACGCCTTTGGATTTTTTCATACAAACATTACTATTATCATACGAACGCTCTTGTAATGTCGTTGCTAAAGCACGCAAATGATAATAATTGTACTATTTGTGTGTATGAATTTTTGATCGCAGTCAATTGAGTACACTATTTCATATCTCTAGGCAATATTTGTGTTTCAGTTGTCGTCGGATTTCTATCAGTTGCTCTTTACACTTGGTTCAGACCAGACCCACTCAATCGACTTAGAAGTATATAGAGTAGCTACTACTCTTTGTTTTGGCATATAAACTGAAAATTACAGATTAAAAACCTGAAAAAGATTTTGAAATTAATTTTTAGTTATATTAAAAGAACATTTTATTTAGTTTATATTTTAACCGACTTCAAAAAAGGAGGAGGTTCTTAATTCTGTTTTTTTTTTGTATATATATTACGCGATAACTCAGGTATTTGTGAACCGATTTTCATGATTCTTTTTTTGTTGGAAAGAGGTTACATAATGGTCCCATTTAATTTTAAAGAAAATCATCCACATCAGAGGGTGGCTGTTCACGCATGAAGATTCATTTTTATAAATAACGCCTAAATTTTATTATAAGGAGCAATTATTTTAATGGTTGATTTTGCTATTCTTGTTTTTCTCTCTCAATGTACTTTGAGTAGTGAGAACCGATTTTTTATTATGTCCAGTATCAAGTCCCGTATAGTGGCGAACTAGGGTATATTTGAATAAAACTTGGCAAATAGACGTAATCCCACGTACTTTTGAGGTCGGTTTTTTTAGTACTCTGTACTGAGATTATTGTTAACTTGCTTGGTATATTGTTACGGAGTAAATGTTACTAATAATATAAAAAGGGACTTAGTTTTACAGCTGCAAGTATAGTTTACATAGAAATCAAAACAAAACAAAAATAAATTGCGTACTTGATGTGAAATGATGAATCTAATATAATTATTATATGGAAATTTGTATTCGGGGGCATTCGTAAATCCGAAGATTGCCGAGAAACATGAAGAAAATAGTTGTACTGTAAACTAATGTCTCAATGTGTCACGCATTGTGCGTGTAGTTTAAGATTCTAGAGAAAACATGTGCAAAATTATTTTCAGCCATTAATTGATTATTTTGAGTCCAATTTTCAGTACAGGGTGCCTTTCATCATGTTTTATGGTGGGTTCTAGCATCTATTGTTGCTCAGCTTTTCTTTAAATGCTATTTTGTCAGCACGTACTTGATCTATACAATTTAAGGTCTCCAATTATTGGCCGTCATAAGGTGATCTTTCGACTCCTTCTCCCGTCTTGGCACCATACATTTTATTTCTGTTCATTATTTGAATTAAAACCTATTTAAATTTCCAGGGATTCCGCACCGACCCACTGATTGATGACGTCAGTTCGATTAGCAACGAATCTTTCTCAGATGGAGAGAGCTTATTCGGGGCCCAAGAAGTATTTTCCAATACAATGGTTATAAAGGGTACCATCACGCATGCTGCGATGTCTTGACCCGAGGCCGTGCCTAAACTGGGCACGAACGTAAACCCCAAAGCGCCTAATTCGCCTACCTACGGCAGCTTTGGCAAAACTAATCTTAAAACTGATGAACAATGCAAAAAATCCAGTGACAAAAAAGACACTGTAGATAATGACAGTGGTATGTCATCTGAAGAAACAGATGATTCTTTAAAATACTACGAGAGTGCTACTAATAATATAAGTATAGATAAGCAACCCGAAGTAATAACCAAGTGCCTAACTAATGAACCTCAATGTGCACAGCACTGGAATGAAATTCCATGTTGTTCCAATAATAATGTAAGTGTGAATGAAACTACCAGGTTGTTAGATGATCAAGGAGCTGGTAAAATCCCAGAATTTATTGTGATAGATCTGACTTGTGATGTACGTAATGTGTCTGAAGCGATCGAGGTTGAAAACAGTACAAATAGTACTAATGATAATTGTGATAATTTGAATATACCTAGTTTGGAGAGCCAAAGTTTAGTTCCTGTTAACAACGAAATAACAAGGACAGATAGCCAGAAACTGGTCAGTCTGTCTCTTTCTATCTTACTTGCTGCTTTGTTGCAAGCGATGCGCTGTTTCGCTCAGTTCTTAGAGGACATTGTAGTCCCCCAACGGTAATATTCGTTGTGTTCCATTTATGTAATTTGGTGCATTATAAGTTTACTTGTATACTATACATTACTACGTATGTCAATATTATATTTGATTATTTCATTGTAAATTGTTGTTTTATTGTTGCACGTAATATATTTTTTCTTTATTTATTTTCTTTCCGCTATATACTGACTTAATTTAATACGCATCCAATGAATACACAAAAGTATTTAATAATAATTTAATAAATAATATTGAACATACACAAATGCTACTATTCACACACATCAAATAAATTAATGAGGTTAAATAGGTACACTAAGTTCTATTTATTGTCTCCACATTGTATTTCACTAGATTCATAGGGAGGCCTCGTTTATGACGGTAATTAGTCGGTTGTTGGAGTTGTGGCATTTTTTCTTCCACTTGATGGAGTTCCGCGGGACGTGGTCCGGGGTGCGGGCGCGGGGCTCGTTCACGGGTGTACCCAGGGGGGGACTTCCCATCACCACTGACCACCGCCGGCCGCGTCTTTCGTTCAAGTTCGGCAGCTCCGCTATCAAGTTGTTCTCGTACTCGCTCAGCATTAGATAGTTTTCCACCTGTATATAAACAATTTTTTTTAATATATTTATCATTTATTTCTTTAAAGGTATGTTCTAGTTTCAAATCAACATTATTTTAATGATATAAAGTGCATTTTTGAATGAATCTGAAATTCGTCTAAAGCAATTGAAATGGTGGTGTTGTTTTTTTTTATGCCGGACTGCCACGCAGAGGTCCCGGGCCGGGAGAAATATTCGTATGGCCTACATTTATTTCTCTCGGGGAGTTGGGTGTAAATTGTGGTTGTCTATGTGTGTGTCCATGGCACCCGCAACTCAGGGCTTCTCTAGTGCGGGGCTATGTTGAATGTGTGCGTTATTATGATTATTATTATTATATATTATATTATTATGGTTCTCCGCAGAGTAAAGCATTTGGATTGGTTTTTTTAATAATTGTTGATGGTTGATTTGAGAAGTTAGATTTTAGGCGTGTCTAATAAATCTTGGTGCCAATTATAACACACTTATACAGTAAGTTCCAATTAGTTTCAATCGGGTATGGAGTTTTACCTTATTGCAGCTAGTAATACAATCCCCGCCGCACTCTAATTCTTCAAGCAGATGCTCTGGTATCTCCAGATCGAGATCGAGGTCTAGCCCTCCTTCCTCGCTGATGCATGTCAGTTCGGGAGGCACGTTCGGTGGCGGAGATCCCAGTGAACCGGGCCCAATACTGTCTAGTAGGAGATCGCGCCCAGTGCGACCTGGGGCCACTAACTCTGCTCCTAGAACTAGTGTTGTAGTGTCTAGTTATTAACTTGTCGAAGGGGAATTTTCTTTTTTATATATTTTTGTAAAACTGACAAATAATGTGTAAAACGTGTAATCATTTACAGCAGATTCTAGATTAACGTTCACTTTTGGTTTGATGGTGTAAGTATTTCTGTATGCAGGTTCGCGTTATTATTGACATACCTAAGGCTGTGGCAGCACCGGCCGCGGCGCGTGGTTCGTGATCTCGGTTGCGACCGCGTCGCGGTCCGCACGCTGACTCGCAATTTGCAGTTCCGTTTTCTCTGCAAGAAATAAAAGCATATGATTTTCATACATAACTATATTGCCAACGCTTGTTGAAAGGGCGCTTGTGACAAAAACTCAAAACCGAGAAAATAATGTATAAAAAAATTAATTTAAAAAAATAAAAAAATAGTGACAGATCTGCCTTTTTTTACTGATCGCGGCAGTATAGGTACATAACAAAAAAAAAAAAACAAAAAAAATGTCGCATGCGCCCTTTTAAGTAACGGCGGTAGTATAAACATAATGGGTGATGGTATGTGCCCTGGTAAGTGGAATACTTAGAATTTATAGTCTTATTTCACCCTAGACCGATTTTGCTGGCCTGATCAGTCGCCATTCCAAAGTAGATATGACGTTGGGTTTTAAAGTCAGCTGCGGCGCTCTTCAGTGTCTGCACGCACCATATAATATTTTCACTTAAAAGCGATACTTACAAAAATAATTCACAAAATACATTCAACAGTGCGCGTTATTACAAGATTATATCTTTCGATTTTTTATGAACTGTCACAGGGATCATCCTAGAGAACAATTGTAGTTAGCTCAGAAGCAGTAACATTATTGATATTGACGGTGACTGTACTAACCAATCAGAAAAAAAATGCCCAATGCCTATACAATATTGCCCGTAGTCCAACTAGTTATACCAGGGGAAAAAAACTTTGCCCTTGGTCCTACTAGTTGGACTACGCAGTTGGACCACGGGCAATTAACTCAACTCCCGCCTATTCGGTGCATTAACGCCTACATCTCGCTTGGAGCGTAGGGTTGTCACATTATTATTTTTGTGATGCCAACGTCAGAGAATAAAGAATAAGAAAACGGACACTCCGCCCCTCTCTAGTTTTAGATATCGCACCACGCCCCGTACATTTACTGCGTACTGCCGGCGATCCGTTATCGCGCGAAGACGGCTTTGATATTTGAATACAGTTTTCATTTATTCATTACGAAACTTGTACATTAATATAAAACATCATTTTACTTTACTATTTATAATATACGGCTGTTTATCATCATTTTCCGAAAGATGAAACGAAGTAAGTAAAAAAAAAAAAACTTATGTCTGAGACTCATTCAGTTATTGTTTTCTTCATTTATTTACTGCAGAGTAATATATGTAGGTATGTATAAAAAATACAGATTTATTATATCAATATAATGAGACGCGAATATATGACTTCGCGAGTTTTCTATTCGTATTGCCGATCAATATTACGTAGGTAGTGAATATACCTAATTATTAACTAAACTTGGACAAGCAATTTCAAATACCTTGGTTACCTTACTTAAAAGTACGGACAACAGCACATCAGACTACACATTCGAAAATTGCCTCCAGTGCAACGGAACAAGATACGTCAATGTGTAGCTTGATGTGCTGTTGACTGTACACGTTCGAAATATAACATTTTAAGTGCTTTTAATATATTTTCGAAATAAATCTTCAATATTGCTCTAGTTAGTGAATTAATGAAAAATATAATAATATATCGATATAAATACCTAATCGACATGTATAATTATTAGGATTCTATTAATAGAATCATAGATAATCATACCACTCTGACCACGTAACATAATAGTGCGAGAAAGTGATGGGTAACCCTGCCACTTCACGCACACATTTGCGCATGTGCAAATAGCGCATTGCTGTATGTGTAGTAGTAGGTAAATAATTTTCGACAGTTGTAAGGAGTGTCCGGGTTGTGCCAACGTTCGTAGATATAATTAAGAAAAAAAAAGATATTGGTCACTATTGTGTTATCTCATTATAGCACGAGTGTCGAGTATATTTTGTAATGCCATATTAAAATAACCTTAATTGTCAAATGTACGTATTGATATTTTTAAATCAGCATCGCGGATTAGTATCTGTATTATGGGAGTATCATCATGAAATACCTACGTGAGGCGCACTATAAGTTTCCGGAATTAACAAGATAAAAGTACTATGAATGGTCAGAAATGAATTTATTCTTTCTCATAATATTCTCCGTTAGCGTTAATGGACTTTTTCATAGGAATGAACCGATTTTGAAAACGTTTATGCCACTCCTCCGTGACAATCTCTGAAACATATTTTTCATACTCTTCGACAGCCTCTTCAGGTGATGAAAATCGTTGACCGCGTAACTGGTTCTTAATTTTTGAAAATAAATAAAAGACACAAGTTGCCAGGTCGGGTCTGTACGCGGGATGGCACATAAGGACAACGTTGTTCACCTTCAAAAATTCATTTGTCTGTCTGGCTGTGTGAAAACCGGCATTATCGTGGTGCAAGATGATACGGCGTTTACGGTTATTTTTACGGAGTTTGTCAATAACTTCCGGCAAACATATGGTCGTGTACCAATCACTATTCACGGTACAACGATTCTTCAAAGCAACAGTAGCCGTATGTCCAGTTTTATTAAAAAAAGAAGCAATCATCCGCTTAGAGGCACTTTGCACGCGCACCACTTTGGTTGGTTTCGGATCATTTTGCATAACCCATACGCTCGATTGCTGCTTTGTTTTGGGATCGTAACTATAAATCCATATTTCGTCACCTGTTACTATGTCCCACACCAAATTTGACGCCCCTTCGTTGAATCTGGTCAGCATGGCATTGCACCAAGTGACGCGATCCGTTTTTTGAGCCTCAGTCAAATTGTGTGAGATCCACCGAGAGCATAGCTTTTTCACACCCAAATGTTTGTGTACTATTGATTGTGTTTGACTTATGCCTATGCATAAGAATGCCCGAATCTCTGGTATATCACATGACTGTCTGTTTTGATCATACGGCGCACAGCATCGATGTTTATGTTTTTCACAGCAGTGCACGGGCGACCATCACGAAATTCGTCACTGAGATTCACACGACCGCGTTTGAATTCTGCAAACCAGCTATAAATAGTCGTCTTGCATGGTGCTTCATCGCCAAAAGCAGTTTGAGGCCGAGCGAAGCTGCTCTGAGCTGTTAAATTACACTTAAAGTCATAGAAAATCATACCATGAAAATTTTCACGAGTTAAATCCATGGTGATGTAGACAACCAATTTCTAAAATGACGCTATAATGTAAAAACAAGTGACTGTCAGATGAAACAAACTATATTCAACAGCCAAAGAGTTCTATTGTCAAATGTTGTAATTACTTTTTAAATATTGTTTATGGAAGTGGTCAGTTCCAGTAATTTATAGTGCGCCCTATGTAGATAGATACCCGCTCTGTGCAACACGAGTGCACTGCGAGATTGTGCGAATGCGTGCGTCCATACACTGAACGCGGCTTAGTAGGCTTGCACACTTTTAAGCCTTGTTGTATGGACTTACTTACTGTCTAAGTTTGTATGGACTTCCACTAATTTTCTTATTATACTATGTTATCGCTTAGTCATTTTAACATTATGCCATACTTGGTGTGTTTGTGTGCTACGCTGCGACGATGCAGGTCGATGCAAAAGAGGCTGAGGCTACCGATAAGCGAGCACGTAGAGCTGAAATAGTAGCCCGCCTTGCCGCCGCAACCCACGTTAATGTACCCTGTAATACAGCACAGATGACCTTGCAAAAGTGTTTGTGAGGTTGTCACTTGGTGACCAAGTAAATTAGAAGTGCACTTTTGTTTATTCCACTTCATTTCGCATTTTGTAATAATTATGTATGTACGAAATATTATTGCTACCCGACGAGGCATGTAAGTGAAATTTTAGTAATTTCATAAAATATTGCCAGTGTAGTAAAAAGTTTCGGACTGTAGTACAATCGCCATTCAACACATGTTTTCTTTCGAAAGTTTGGTTTAGAAAAACTCCACATGAATCCGATTATGAGAGTTCCACTACTATTCAAGATCTTGGTAACAATCACATTTCCAGTTTCACCATTTACATGTTTGGTAATCTGCCAACAGGACCTCGTTGTTGTGTAAACATATCTCATAGGTATAATACATGTCTCTTCCACAAAAAAGGAAACCTACGCTGCGCTATTAGGCTTCGCTGTCTGATATTAAACTTCGTCAGCGTATTTTAACAACTATCACTAGGCAACCAGTGAAAAGTTTAAAACAGTTGTAAGACATTTTACCTGATAGCGGTACTCCTATAGCGATGGGCACGGCCTGGGAGCATTGAACGAAACCCCAGGTTCGCGCGAAGTTCCTCGAACGTACGCGCTCATACGTGTACATTTTCAGCGAGTAGTGATACCCTCCACAAAATATACCTGTAATCACATATTAATGCATACCAATTAATTACTTACACACTTGCTTGTATACGGGAATAAAATTCCTTTAAAAGGATAAAATTAAAATGTTTTTGATCCCTGTACTGCTGTTAACCAGAAATACCATAATTACAATATACGCGTATTATACATATAGTATTTCTATACGTACATATGTACATACATATATACGCCTACTTAAGACCTTTTTTTTAGAATCTCGTATATCTCGGAAACCTACGTAACTTACCATAAATCCATGCAAACATAACGTAACCCCTATACGATCCTTCGACTGCAGTAAGCGCCATCGTGGCCAATCCACAAACGAACACAGCTGCTTGCGTGAGGTATTGTCTCGCTATTCGGCATTCTGCTGAATTCTGTCTCACTAGGAGACCGAAAGCTGCGCAGCCCACCGCCCATGCTAGACCTAGGTATGCTTGGAGAAGTTCCGCAGTGTCGCCAAGACCTGAAAGGAGAATTCAGATGTACAATATTAATTTACTGTTCTGCAATAACACTTATGTCTTTTTTTACATGAAACCTGGATCAAACGTAAAGTAGGTATTTGTGGGTATCGTCTGTCCCAAATCTCTCTCACTCACTCGAGTTCCAAGGACGCGCGAATATGTTTATATTTCTGATTACGTCTTTCCTGTATTACGTACTGATAGTCGGCAGTTTTTATGAGAACAAAGTAAGTCGTAACGCCAAAATAGCATAATTGAGTAAATTTGTATCATCTCATCACATCAAGGTTGGGTAATTTTATGTTTTGTACAATCGCTTTATTTGTTTACTCTCCGCGTCAGGCTTCTTGGTCATAAAACTTTCGCATTTGCTCGAGTCAAAGTGGAGCGCTTCTTGAAAGTAAATAAAATGCCTTATTATAAGGCTTGTATATTTTTAGTTCAACATACCTTCCTCTTCGGCATGATAAGCTAAATAAAATATTGGAGTGTTGATCCCAAAGGCTGATATCCCAGTTGACATCAGAAGGATTCTGACTGTTTTTGATCTCAGCGTGGAAAAGTCAAAGAACGGTTGACGGTCGTCCTTATTGTTCTTGTCTTTCATTTTCCGCTTGATCTTGTTTTGATTCTTAAGATGTAGAATGGCTCTCCTTTGAGGATGGTAGAGTGACGCTGAGCGATAAAAAGTTCCGAGTATAAACGTTACGAACACTACTCCTGTGACAGCTTGTAGTCCTAATCGCCAACCGATTGCTCTGAAATGTTAACACATACGTTAGCAACAGCACTGCACTTATACATTTTAAATTAACTACCTTACCATTGTTACCATCTCCACCTGTTATTTACTGACGTTTACACGAATAACCTGGACTCAAACTCGAAAACTCCGGAAGCATTATCCAGAATGCCTACACCAAAACCAGCTTAGAAAAGTTCGTGTCCTAAATTCCTACTGTTATATCAAGAAAAAAATACATGCCGAAAATGTCGTAATCGAAATTTAGCCAACAAATAGTTATAAAGTCATTTATTATTAATGAATTAATTAACTACCTTATGGCACATTTGATGAAAGTGGACATGACAGCGATGCCGAGGCCGCTGCCGCTCACTATGAAGATTTCGACGAGCTCGCGCCGCCTCTTGAAGTACTGTGCCACCATCAGCGTCGAGCAATCGCGTGTCAGGCCTACGCCGACACCTATAACCGTCCCTGGTAAAGGATTTAAAATCGATATATATAGCCCCCACAGCTCTTTTTCAAAATAACATCGCAACAAGCGAATATTAAGGTTTGTTCCTATCAACTTTAGATACTTATATTTTAATCGGACAAGTTGGATAAACTATTAATTGGCTACATTAAAGTCATCATAATAAACATATAATAAAGATAAAAATAACCTATACCTTCTACTAAATACTTCTACTACTTCTACTAAATACCTTCATATATTGCGTAGATTTATTTAATGAACATACTTAATTAGTACCTAATATCGAAATTACCGTATTTTTCATCGACTTCCAAAAAGGAAGAGGTTCTCAATTCGACTGTATTTTTTTTATGAATGCTACATGATTACTCCGGCATTTGTGAACCTATTTTGATGATTTTATTTTTGTTGGAAGGAGGGTACCTCAGTATTGATCCCATTTACATTTGAAGAAAATATTTCACCTCTAAGGGTGACAAACTAGGAGATGAATCCGGTTTCGCGGTAACCGATTTCAATAAAACTTGACATATAGATGTCGTTCCACGAACTTTTGAGGTCGTTTTTTTTTTCATAAAAAGTTATAATTATTATTATAAAGTTATAATAAAGTAATAATCTTGTTTCCAAGCACGCGTCTACGCTAATTCAGTTTATTTCCCTTAGTACCTACTACGATTGAAGACACAATCAAAGAGTACAAGTACAGGGTATAAGTACAAGTTCAAAAACATGATTGTTTTGCTAACCATGTATTGTGTACTTTGCCAAGATATTCCTAATACGGGAACTTCGTCACGAATTGCAACTGAATCAATACCTACTTGTCGTGGCTATAGCGATTCAACGCAGTTAATTGAGTGTGTTGTGCCTTACCAACAATTCCAGACGCTCCAAGTGGGCTTAATGTTGCCAAGAAATAAATTCACCCCACGAGGAAGGAAGTAAATTTTACACTGGACGGAGAATATCCGGTTACAGGATAAAAGAGTATCTTGCTACAAGATAAACGTTCTTTAAGCTACAATTAAGAAAGTCTTTAAATCTTTTTTCCACTTTACCTTATCGATTTCTTATAATTGTTTCTAATTATAATATTTATTAAATAGCCAATTTAGACATAGTCAAATAAATTTTATTCTACGGTTAAGAAACATCGGAAGAAATAAAATCACCGATATTGTTCATTCGAACTTAGTGTATAGGTACCTGATAACTGCCAATAACCATTGCCAAACTTTCTTCACAGCGAAAACAGATACTTCAAACTTTTTCTAGTGCGCTATTCATAATTTCTCTTCCAAATTCTTGAAACAGGTTATATACCTACATATCGTGAGACGAATCACCTTTTTCACTTAGACGGAATTATGGCTGCATAGAAATTGTCTTGAATAAATAGGGGGAAAGGAATGTAGTACAAACTGAAAATATGGCGCTGAGTCATCTCGTAAAGTTGGTGATATCGACCTCGAGTGTGCATTGAAGGCAATAAAGATTGCATCGAGCTGACGGTACCGACGATGGTCGCGAGAAAGAGATATTCGCTTTGTGATTGCGAAAATATGGGATGTCAGAGAGATCTGAGAGATGCCGTAACAAAATTTGAGGATATTAAATATGTGAATTACGAAATTATAACAGATTAAACGATCAGGTTTTAGATCGGAGATGCTTAGATTTGGACGATAGCCCACAATTTGGTTAACACTGATAGGTAGGTACTAGATATTAGTTGAAGTTAATGCACGTGCCTTTTTCGCAGCCTTCTTCATCTCGACTTCAAACGCATGAGATAAAACTTTCGCACAATTGCAGCAAACCCATCTACTTGTGCATCTGCGTACACTCCCGAGGCTAAATAAGTGGCTAAAGAGGATAAATAAGAAATACCTACCCACTAGCTGCTTTATTGAATTGGTAAGTTGTTTTTCAATTAAGTAATATCATCTAAGTTTATTTTTAAAACAAGGATAACTATGCATGTCTTGGACGCTACACGATGCTACATGTATTAATTTTGTAAAACAAATTACTGGCCTTAATTGTCTCTTTATTATTTTATTATTATTTATCTCTTTAAGATCCATTTGAATCTAAAGGAAATTGATAAATTAGGTATAAAATGCAAAGACTGCAGAGTACCAAAACAAATTCACTGGGGGAACAAATCGCTGCCAATTTAAAATCAGCCCCCTTGAAATAGAGATTTGGAGCGCATGCGAAGCATGTGTATTAAGATACCTTTTGTATAAAGAAACAAAGAAACATTTATTCGGCTATTACAAGTAAATATACAAATAATAATAATACTAAACTAAATAAAAAAAACCAAATGATTACTAAATACGTAATAATAGCCGAAAAGGCTAGCCAGCTCAGCTTAATGCAGGGCAGAGCCACAGCGCTGATTTTCAGCTGGAGCCTGAGAAGAGGTTATTTGCCTATTTCATAAAAACTAAACAGAATACAAGTATTTGATCTGTAACCTAAACATTTAAAACAACAATACCCAATTTAGAATAAAATTATGACTGTATGCAGCGTGCTCTTAAACAATATAAAGTAACAAAATTAATAATAATAAGAATGATGTCTGAGTCATAATAATACTAAAATAAATTAACAACTAGCTTTAGTAATTGATGCCGTTTATCTAACCTATTAGCGTAAACTTTGTAATTCTCTTGCGAAAGTCAGATAAAGAAGCTACATTGCGAATAGGAGAAGGAAAATCATTCCAGATTTTCGCCGCGGAGGCATACTTAAAGCTCTCTTGAAATGCTGTAGTTCTGTGGCATTGGACAATTAGCCGACCAAGATGCAATTGCGAAGACCATATTTAATTTTTATATAGGTAAAACGGTTTTTTTTTTTTATTATAACAAAAAGTAGAGTGTCAAAATGTATATACCGACATGAAGACATATTTAATAGTTTATTTTTATTTAAAAGTAAATAAGTGCCTATTTCAAAATCAAAACGTGTTTCGTATCTTAAATATTTGGACGAAAATTGGGTCGTCAGTTAGAGGTTTCACTTCCTCTCCACTTGCCAGTTATAGATTTACAAATTTAAGGTATTTTATTTAGAAATACCTTAAATTTGCGTGACAATGAAATCACAGTGATTGTTGCAAATAATACAAACTTAGCGGAAGTCCTAGATTTTTTCCGTTTTACAAGAAACTAGAAGCATCATAATGGCAAACTCTTCCACTGCAATTGCAGCCACTGAAGGTAACATTCACTGCACGAATGCAATCCCGCACAAACAAAGGAACATCGGGCTACGATAACGCTATGACGATGTAATGTTCCAGTTTACAAATGCACTCCACATTGCCTTGTTGTCTTGTGTTCCACATTGCTGTGTAAAACCAGATATTACAGTAGTAAAACGTTGTATCTATGGTGCTTCAAATTGTAAAATCGGCTTTCAACTAGGGTCATTCTTTTAAAGATTATATTATTAACGACATGGCTTTTGGTACATAAATGCGAGTACCTATTAATCACTTAATTATTACAGCATTAGGTATAAAAGTAACTTATATTTATCGAGTTCTTAGTTTGAGATTGTTACTCATAGGAAATTACACTGTTTTTTCAGATCTAAATCGCGTATACTTGTTTTCTCAAACAAACCAACGTTTAGGGCCTTATACAGGTCCTACTGTCACGAAACAGACACACATGAGTCAGTCGTGACCATGTCATATATTTTTTCTAAAATTATGATTACCAAAAGAGAAAACAGTTTTTTGATTTAGTTTAATTTTGACGGCGTTGATCCTGAAAGCTTCTAAAATGTTATTCATGATAAAGGTGCTACATTTTGCGGAATAAAATTATCAGTTTATACGATAAAATGATATTAATATCACGTGAAACATAAACAAAAGTACTTGGTTAATTGCATCAGACACAGTGTTTATGCAGCGCAGTCTTCGGGCTGTTGTATCGGATTGCAATATCGCCTGGCTACTGTTATTTATTTCTTTTCTTTCCAAAGATCGTGCTGATTGCCAAGTCTTGTTGTTAAAGTTGGGTATATAAATCTTTCTTAGAAAAGTCTTCAGTTAATGTGCTTAGTACGTACAGTTAGCCACTTTGAAATGTCATGGACGAAGAAATTAACAGAAATTAGTAGAAGTAGACTCTTTGTGAAAGAGTTTGTCCAGGGAAGTATTGTCACCTTACCTATTTCTGCCGCCAAACAGTAATGTGAGCATTATTGCGTTCCGGTTTGAAAGCATGGGACTTGTCAACTCATATCTCAGGGTGACGGGCGCAGTGGCAGTGCCCCTAAGATTTTTGTGATTTGAAGCTCTGAGTAGAATTGTAGTTACTGAATATTACGCCTATCCATAACAGTTGGATAGGCGTAATATTCAGTCATCGCTTACCACCAGGCGCACGACTCGTGCTTCCCGCCATTTGGTATTATAAAAAAAACTTTTACGCTCTAGAAACAAATGTTATTAGTTATTGCAATTTGATACTTATATATGTTTTAGAGTTGGAGACTCCAGTGGTCGGGACGTATTACAACCGAGTCCGTGATAAATGTGTATTTTATATGGGGTATCGCATAAGTCTTTACTCCTGGTGCAGTTCTGAAGTGTATTGACAGGTTAGGTCCAAGCCTTCGTGTTAAATACAGTATTTAGTACAATATAGTAGGAATTGCTTATACAAGAAGGAGGAGGAGAAGTGACTAATAAGAGACGCATTCTTACAATTGTTTCTTGCGAAAAGCTGTACATAATTTGTCCCCTTGTGGATGCACAGTTTGTTTAATGGCTTAAACTGATACGGTAGCTGGATAGGTGTGTATAATTCGTTGCTTCGAGGTACATACCTACTGTGTAAGTATTTAATTTGTTTAGGCCCTTAGAAAACCGTATCTAACTTGTCTCTCCTTAGGGGACGTATTGTATACGGGAAGCCATTTACACTGCCCGGACAGCATGTTCTTAAGTAAGAAGTAAACAGGTCATCAGGACAAAATCTCTGTTGCTGCATTCTCCTTACTAGTTGCAATTAATTACCTCGAACACTCACTAAATGCTTAAACTGTAACTTCAGTGCTTTCTCTCGATATACTAACACACAAACCTGCTCTACCCAATGCAGGCAAACGCTATTTTACTTAAAACATTTTCTCCTCTCTAGCTACCTATTCTCCTCTCTAGATACCTGTCCGGCTCAACTCACACTGGCGCAGAGTCGAAGCGTCGCGACGCGTCATGTTTTTCGCCTATAGCATAATATTCATCTATATTTTCCATTTATTAAGGTACAAATTTGTGTATTGTAAATATGGAATTGAGCGGCGGCGCCCTGAGGCGTCAGACGCCGACCAAATTGTGATCCCGGCGCACTAACGCGGCAAAAAACGGCGCCGTCGCGTGTCGCCTGGCGGTGGAGTTGAAAAACAGGACGCAACGCGACGCTTCGACTCTGCGCCAGTGTGAGTTGAGCCTTAGTTATGACAATATCAGCTGGGTTGAATGGGTCTGTGTCATCCAGTACTATTGAGGTTACAACTGGCATTGATTTGTGCCACTAAAACAAAACAAATGCTGTGGCAAATGTTAAATATTACATTTGCAGCTCCATTTTACTTTTACAGCAACATTCACGTGATTGGAATTCAAAGCGAACCTCTTCATGAGCTTAGATTATCTTAATATTATTAGCGGAATCTGTAACACTGGTCACAGGTTGGTCAAACGTCGTTTTGTACTAAGGGCGGTGGTTTTAGTTTCCAGCTGCAATTTAAATGCTAATGCAGCATTCTACAGCTCTCCGCGTTAACCAGTTTACTACATGCATTTATACAATAGACAAACTTTGTACCTACGTTATTTTTACTGAACACCATTTGTGACTTGAGAATGCGAACTGAGTCTCTTATTATTACACTATATTATCGCTGTGAGCGCTAAAAATGTTAGATACTTACGTAGCAAAATAAAACTCTATGATCCGATTTTATTAGTGGCTTCACTTATTGAAATGCACTAATGAAAAGGTTTTTGGATTGTAACATCGTATGTGTGGATCTTTGAATGTAGTAATTAGAATTTTATTTCATTAAGATAGGTAATCTGTTTGGAAAAATAACTAAATAGTAAAAGTTGTTTTAGCGATTGAATTTAATATACTTTATTTTGGTATACACACGCAAATGTACCGGACATTTAGCAGAACATTAGAATGATCAATGTTTTTTTTAAATCTGGTCGATTATTACCTATTCATTTGTTTTAATTTCCTACTAGTACAGGTTTGTCGAAAGGTTTGATTTGAAGTAGATTTTGCGTTCTTATAAATTTCCTAAATTTTAATTTAAAAAAATTATAAAAGTTTAATTTAATAAATGTTGAACTGTTAACAATATATAAGTTTTAAATTTTTATTGAATTGATAATCAATTATTTTTTGTGAAATTACTCCACTAGTTTGTATATTTATTAATACAAAGATCGAACACTCGGAAAAAAATTATAAGTTTTTAGTTGTTTCTGTTTTGTCACAAAATCTAAAAAAACGTGTTTTTATTAAATTCGATTTTTGTCAATAAAAGTTGAATGAATCTGTATTAAGTGCATGTTAAAAGAAGTTACTTTATGTCAAGTCTTATTTATTTAAATATAGACGTTTTATTTTATAATCTTACTTTATCTGTTATGCAAAAGTGCGTGTATAAATGAACCCGTGGATTCGACTCATAGTATGCGACAGGGTACGTTTAAAGTAGTTACTGAATAATAAAATGTTCTTGGAAATTTCTTACATATTGTTTATTTTAGTTTCTACTGGATTTATATAAATATCGGTATGTTTACTCTGAGGGTTAATTAACGGATACCTTTGAAGTTGGCTAAAACGAGTTTCGGATACGAATCTGACGAAATAAATTGAGTTGTCAGAATCTGCGTGCATTGCGCTGTCAGGTGCATTAACATTCAATTATTTATATTATGTTAATTCATGTTTTATATTGAAAGAGTGAATCACTTCGATTGTAATTTTAAATTATTTCTTTCGTATAATTTCAGAACGAAGGTTGTTCAACTGATTTGTGTGCAATGATTTCAATTATTTTAATTGTCTGGTGGTAAGAGTTATAGGTCACGAAGAGAATATGACTGTCCCTGAGGAATAATATGTTGCTTAAAGCACTTATGCAAGTAGGTGGTAATAGGACCTCCTTCATCGTCATCTCATCTTTTTATCATCCTCTTTCCTTTCTTTCTCTTTTGGCCTCTGATTTTCGAAATTTTGAATCGTTCTCGAATTTTTTTTCCTTCACTAGTTTTATGTTTGTTCTATCAATCGGCACTACCATGAAAATTCTTGAAACGAGAGGACGTGCCCATAAATCACAAATCACCTTAATTTTGTTAAACTTCTCTTTGATTACTATTAAAACTATTAACATTACATAGTTATATAGGAAGACCCTTTTTAGGTGAGCATTGCGTAGGTATAATTGTACATTACACTGTACACTGTCTTGGAGACCGCAGGTAAATGAGGTTAGTCGATGCATGCATTTTTCTTACCATTCTCTCAAGCGGCTTCAATTCTTCTTGCCGTTCAATACCAAGGTTATGCTTGCTCAGTCTTTACTACTTCCTCTTCTCGACTATGCCGATGTTTGTTATTTGGATGCTACTGAGGAGCTGGTAACAAACTGGAGCGCCTATAAAATCTGGCAATTCGTTTCATATTCGGTTTACGTCAATATGACCGGTCTCTGAATTTCGGACTAAGTTGAAATGGCTACCAATCCGACTTCGCCGAGATATGCACGTTCTTCGTCTCCTTTACAAAATTCTACTTTACCCCAAGCTTCCTCATTATCTGTGTTCCCGTTTTTCTCCCTTATCTCCCAGTTCCCGCCCAAAACGTACCTGTGACACTAGATCAGTAACAAATCCCCAATCCAACTCGAAATTCTTCCACAACTCTTTCTCGGTAAGTGCAACTCGTATGTGGAATAAACTGCCTGCTGGCATTCGTGACAGTCCATCGGTGGCATCTTTCACGCACTCACGCATCTTTCGAACGCGTTAGATAGCTAATAGGTAACATATATTATAAATAGTATAAAATAAAAAATAGTAAATAGTAATTTGTTTAGATTATAATATATATTCTGCTTATGTATGTATATAAAGTTCATGTAAGTGTGTATGTCTGTCATATGTAACACATTTAAATTTAAATTTTATTGTACAATAATTAGTCCCGCAGACTTCATTTTTCACCTAGGCTAGGGTTGGCTGGAAGAGATCTCTTCTAGAGATAAGCTCACCTTTGTATATGTCCTTTATAACATGTGTTTCATGTATCTTTTCTTTGTGCGATAAAGAGTTATTATACATTTTCTTTATATCGTTTTATTTGTTACGTACAACCTTATCTTTATCTATTTTAATATTTCTTACTCTTTACTCTTGTGGATCGAATTTTTTGCATTCTCATTTCGTAAAGGTTAGGCTACATAGGTGTAACGTGCAGTACATAAGAATATACTAACCATAACTGAAGAAGAGTTGGTGAAACTGTGTGGCGAACGAGGTAAAGAGACAGCCCAACGCAGCCACTAGTCCGCCAACGACAGCGGTCACCCGCGTCGATTTGCGCACGCACAGTGCAACCGTCACCGGTGACAGCGCTAACGCCACACCCGCTGACAATGCGCCTAGGCATCCTAGAATAAAAACAATTTTTATTTTAGTTTGATGGAAATAAGGAAGTTAGAAAATTCTTCTTAAAGGAGATATAATACGGAATAATAGGACGTATACATCTAGTTAGGTGGATATTTAAGTCAGAAAGATACCTTTTTTATGATATCAAATGACGGAATCAACAAGCGTACGCCTAGTGGTAAGCGACAAGCCTGTCCATAACAGTTGCAGTGTCGCTAAGAGTTTTAAATCCCAAAGATCTGAGTGACACTGCACTGAGCTCGTCACCCTGAGACTTACCAAAGTCCCATGTACCTGTAATTTCACCAGCACCCTTACTCTTTAAAACCTTACTGCTTACATCTTATTGCTTGGCGGCAGAAATAAGATAAGATGGCAGTATTTCTCTGGTCATTGTGAAAGAGTTCTATTTTCGTTAAAAATTAAAAAAAAACTCATTAAAAACACATATCTACAAATTGCACTGTTAATACAATAGTGTACTAACTGAAAATGTGTATTTTTTCAGAATCGATGAAAAAATAATTATTTTTTTTCTGTGTTATTAAATTTAAATTTATATAATAATATTATAAATTTATATACATTATATTTAAACCTACACGGTTAAAGTTTATTACAGACATCTAAAGAATTATCTACTCGCCAAATATATAATGATATTTGTGTACAGACTTGCAAAAAGATTTGTCTTATTTTAAGTTAAGTAGATATATTTTAATTGTTTCTTACAATATTTTAATGACGCTGTTGTTGACGTGTAGAGAATCAAATTTTACATTCGGCATTAGTATAATCTCGAATTACACATATTTTGAGTTAAGACACTATTGTAATAGCAGTGCGAAATGATCTTAATCATATTTTACTTAAGAATAAACGAATATAACCAGTAAGTACATAATAGAACAGCTGAAGAAACAATTACTAACATTAACTAAAGATAGCTTTATTCACTGGTCGCGATATCAAAAATAATCAATCTATATTGCGAATGTCGAACGCCAAAAAGCGCATCTGTACCACAAAAATACAAAGACACGATCTTATGAATCTTGGACGTGCCACTATATCGCGTTCACGACTCTCCATTCCTTACAAGGTGGCTGGAATGCCACACGCAGATCTCTACGGGCGGCGTGGACAATAATAAAACATCACAAGTTGTTTTTATAGTTGTCTGCTAAAATGTGGTCGTCAAACTGTCATATACCTACACATACGGATGTGTGTGTAGTTTATTGTAAATCTTCAAGCCAAGAGATGTCAGAATAATTCATTTCCAAGGTGGGAATTGTTGGAATTCCCTTCCAAAATTGATTCTTTGGTCAGTTCAGTGGTCTGTCAGAGCGGATCGTACCGTGCGTCCAAAGAAAATGTAAATGTCATTGGTTTTCGGTTGGCATACCCGTCGCATCACTGGTCGAAACTTATCGAAATGTATTCAAGCGCGATCTTCATTCACTTGGAACAAGACATTGTCGTATAAAATATGAAATTCTGACATGTTGGAGATATGGGGTTACCTACATGACATTACCAACTTGAAATTACTTTTAGTTCTTATTTACAACAAAATATTTCTAAAGTAATGTATTGTACAGTGGGCAGGTGCTAAACGTGCATAACTTTCTTATTATAATTTCAAAACCTTGTGCAAAAAAAAAGGAAATGAAATGACCATTCCGATACTTTAAAAGAATAAGAAAGGGCGCAAAAACTACAAAGTTTATAAAACGAGTGAAAGATAATGATTTATAATATAATATAATAAATAAAAAAGCGTTTTGATATATTTTATAATTTTCATATACATACTCGTATTATTTATGTTCACGTAAAAAAAACTAGGTTTATCGACTAACAAAACTTGAGAGATCGATAAAGCCTGATATTTGAACCCAACTACTACTATCAATAAGTAATTATCTATAAAATTGTCTGTTACGCCCTTTCTTCTCCGAGATATCGATATGTGAATGCTAGTTAATTATTTCCTATTGCGACAAAAGGTTGCAGACGTATTCTGCGAAGGTATGTGGACTATCTAAGTAAGAAAATCAGGTCATTTGAAACTTGAAATAAATAATGCAGACAGATATCTCTGAAAACTTCATACCAAAGTAAAAATCACATGTGCATCCAATCTGTCGGTGAGTAAAGAATAAAAGGACAAAAGACAATCGCTCTGACAGACTTATGTGACATAGTCTGACAAACAGTGCTATTGAAAAAGTTTAGGACGAACGGTCCGTTTTTCGTTCGTCGACATTTTAGGAAGCTCCAACGGATTTATCTTTCCACTTTCTTTAGTTACTAAATGTATACATTTTGGTATATTACATGTGATTGAAAACATTTTGATAAAACAAAACACTGTATGAACTCCAGTTAGGTATACATATAACAAAAAATATGTAAATACATACCTACTTAAATACGGATAAATATGTATATATGTATAATAAGTTGATTCACGATTTTGTATCCAAAAAATAAGACTATTATTTCTAGATATTTCGTTATTATATAATTAAAACCACGTACATAACATAGGTAATTTTTTGTCTTAATATAAATTTAGTTTCGGTTCCAGAAATCAGTGTCGTAGCACTTTTAGTATGACTACAACAAGCTGACTTGATGTCAAATTTCGTAATAGAACTTCGTATACCATGATTTATTTGTTATGTAATTATTTATTTATATTATTTACTTCACTTTAGCTATAATGAGGTATACCATGCTTTCCATTGGTTTTAAATCTTATGTTTTAGTCGTAATGTGCCTACTGTTTATTATTAACATATTGTTGTTTTACCAGTATATTATATATTGTTGGTAGGTCAATGATTATACTTATAAAATGTCCTTTTACTGTGTTGCAATTTTTACGGAATAAATTGTTTTCTATTTTAATCAATGTAATTTTTATATTTACGAAAATAACCACAGCTTTATTTGATAGAAAAATCCGAGTGCTTTATCTGTATTCTGTCATTACACCGAAAACGTGTACGTACTTAACTAAAAGGGAAAATGGAAGGAAAATTAACTTGGCTGAGTGAATTACTTATGGTTCAGTCTCACGTAAATTACTTAACAACTCAAAGTTGAATGAGTTTCATGAGCATACATATTCTTTGCGACAGTGACAAACCTTAAAATTTGAAAAAGAAAGTGAAATTGCTAGTTGTCTTTTTCTCGAATACCCATTTGCTTGAGCTTAAAAACATAGACATTAGCAGCCATCTTATAGACACTTATTGTAAAATCAAAACATTTATTGAACATTAGCTTACGTATTTTAATTACTTTTTTTTATAATATCAAGTAAAAGGGCGAACAAGTCGTGCGCCTGATGGTAAGCTACACGCCTGTCTATAACAGTTGCAGTGTCACTCAGAGCTTTGAATCGCTAAGATCTGAGGGGCAGTGCCACTGCGCCCGTCGCCCTGAAACATAAGTTGACAAGTTTCATGTACCTGTATTTTCACCAGCAAGCAGCAGTGAGTTAATGAAATTTTGGACCGACACTCGGCTATCCCTATATAAAAAAAATGGCATCGATTTTTATAATCACTTAATAATCGAACTATGAAACATTGTTAATTTATCCATATATAGCAAGTACATACATACATTCTGCGGCGGCAAGGTGGGCGGACGACATCCCAGGAATTGCGGTGTGAACCTGGATGATATTAGCACGGGACTGTGGGGAGTGGCACAGAAACTTGGAGGCCTACACTCAGCGCTGGGTGACGTCAGGCTTTATATGATGTCATAAATTCTGTGTAATTGGTAACAGAGGAGACAATATTTTGAATAGTATTTGTTCCAAGGTCGTTTTGTTGGTAGGTTGATAATGATGGTCGTGAATATTTCTTTGCTGATGGATCGCATCAAAACTAATTTGATTATGCATATAATAGCTAATAATAGAATTATTTATTTCGGACCATGATCCATAATAATAATTTTATAAATATAAAATTTTTTACTTTGTCGAAGAAGAACAAATTTAATACTTTAAAACATTGTTCAAAAACGTCACTGCAGTTTTTATGGCTCAACTCACACTGGCGCAGAGGCGAAGCGTCGCGACGGGTTATGTTTTTTGCCTATGGTATATTCATCTCTGTTTTCCCATTATTAAGGTACAAATTTGTGTTATGCAAATATGGAAAGTCGACGCGCGTCAACGCTTGGACGCATTCGAGCGGCTTCGCGCGCTGACGTCACTTGTGCGCAGTGCGGCGTCAGACGCCGTGCACACTGTGATCCGGGCGCACTAATGCGAGCGTTCGACGCGTGTCGCCAAGCGTTGTGGTTGGAAAACAGGACGCGACGCGACGCTTCGACGTGAGTTGAGCCTAAGACATAAAACTAGGATATGACGACATCTTCGTAATATCAATTCTGATTACGAATGTTAAATACAATTTTTTTATACATTACCCGCAGTTGATAAAAAGATTGACCCATGTAAAAAAATTAAGTATACATCATACTTTTTCAAGGATTCCTCAATCCCA